AGGATCAAGCTGGATGCTAATGAGCTCTAAGAGAACATATTTTCTGGCAAGTGATATGTGAAACCATCAAGGCCTGTAGTTGCAGCACTGGAATTCTTGTCTTTTGCTTTCAAAGAAACCTTAGATGCCATCGATGTGCCCTTTCTGCTCTTTGATCTTCGCATAAATTCAAAGAAGAGGAGGAGGGAGAAGAATAATCAGGTATGAAGGAGTAGATGAAGGACAAAGGACTAAGGAGAGAAGATGAAGTCGCCAGGATCGCAATGGGCATGGAGAGAAGAGACACAGAGAGGAGAGAATTTGGTTAAGGCATTGTGGTCATTTGACACTTCAAATTAATGTCAACAAAAGACTTTAATTTGGAATTTCTCCCAAGTCCTTCTCAAAAAACTTAGATTTGGTAAGGTCTTTATTAACAATTTTCCCTTTAAATTTTACATCAAACTATCTTGCTGTTGTTCAAACTAATAATATATATATATATATATATATATATTTTGTTTACAAATCACACATACCGTGGAATACTTCTCATGAAAATATTTCTCTGATATTAGTATGTCAAAATGTGCTAATGCTATATATTACTTCCTTCAGTCCTATTTATAGGACACCTTATAGAAGTAATTTTTGATCTAAAATATAAGACACTTTATAATAATTAAACCACTTTTTTTAATTTTACCCATTCTTGATTAGCTTGAAGGTATTTAATATAGTTGTATTATTAGTTAAATTTAAGAGTAAAAATAAAAGTACATTTTACTTTTTTATTATAGCAAGAAAAAAATTAACTTTTCTTAAAATGCATGAAATGATCGAAAGTGTCTAGTAATAAAAATCGAAGGGAATATATCACAATGACCGTCTTCTAATTCCATATAGAAAATATTACCTTGAAAGTTCCAGAACCAAAGGACGTAATGTTTAGGGTGTGAGTAAAAGGTGAGTTTATGTTTAGAATGTGAGTAAATGGGTGATATTGAATATACACGCATGGATTATTGGATTTGATTTTTGGTGGATAATATGCCTTTGCTTTTCCAGTTCCATAGCAATGATATTTTTGGTGTGATGTTCATAATCTCCAACAACACTATTTTAGGGTATGATCGAAGTTTAAATCCATCCCGCACCAAAAAATGAATTACACATATGATTATAAATATTTTACTTTAAAAAGATCGAATTGAAGTCGCTAAAATAAAATTGAAGAGGTTTCTTACAGTGAAAAATTGGAGCTTCTAAAGTAAGAGGTCAGAACTCACTAGATTGATTAAAAAAGAAGGGATAGGACTCTAGAACAAATAGGTAATAATGGTGAGAAATGGAATTAGAAGCAGACTTTGAATGATTGGTTTATGAAGAAATAACAAAAGAAATAGGTATTCATAAAACTCAAAAGGAAGGTCTGTGAGGTATGAGTAAATGTAGAGGGGGCATGTGAAAAGTGTAAAATACATGACTGCAATTAGAAAATACTCTTCCATTAAAAAATATAAAATATTTTTAATTAAATTTTACCTCCAACAAAGTTATTGTTTACTTTTAAACTAACCTATCTTTTCATATATATCTCTATTAAATATTTTACAATAAATATAAAATCATTATTAATAGGGGTATTTTTGAAAAAAAGGCAATGATTACATCTCGAAAGACTAAAAATATTTTATATTTTTAAATATTCAATTTCTCAAAAAATATCTTATATTTTTGAATGGAGAAAGTGTGTAATGACAAGCTTAGCATGATTGTTAAATGTCGAACATGCAATGACTAGCTTCAAATGACCGCCAAGTGCCAAATTTACTATGACAAGCTCCGCATGAGCATCAAGTGTCAAATATGCAATGACAACTGCAACATGATTGTCAAGTGTCAAACATGCAATAGAAAATGTGGTATGGCTGTCAGGTGTTAAATATATACAAGTGATATATATAGCCTGTAAAATTTTGATGTTAATTAAGTTTTTTTTTTCTAAGGAAGGTTGTGTGGTACAAGTAAATATATAAGGCATGTATGTGAGAATTTGGATTTTTTCTGAAAACAAAGATGATTGATAAGGGGTAAGGGGAAAAGGAAAGTAATGAACTGCAGCATGATAATCAATGGTCAGGTATTCAATGACAATAGCTACTGTCAAGTGTGAAACATATCATGACAAGAACGACATGCAGTTATAAAAAAAATATTCATATTTTTTAGAAAATAAAATAAAAATAATGTTTCAAAAGTAAGAAAAAAATTTAATCATAGGTTTTATAAAAAATAATAATCTATTCTATGAAAAAATATTGAGCTAAAATCAATACTTAGAAAAGGATAAAATTATTTATTCAACAACGTAGTATCATATAATAAATCAAAAGAGTGTGAAACTGTAACAAATGGGATCAACGAGTTTTAAGAATGCGGGCGAAGTGTTGATCATGTCTACATACCCTTTCGAATTAATTTTAAATCCTAAAACTACGATTTTGTAAAAATATATTAAAACATTCCTATTATATACTAAAATTAATTTCAAATTTAAAATCATGATTTTTTAAAATATCCAAATATCCCTAATACATGTTAAAATTAATTATAAATTCAAAATTATTGTTTTATTAAAAAATATCTAAACACTCTTATACATGCCAAAATTAATTATGAACCCAAAATTATTGTTTATAAAATAGAGTTTATATGGTTTTGGAAAATTTTTATGAAAGTACAATTGCAAAATACAATATAAATTGAAAAGCAGGTATTAATAACTTGTGAGATAACTATAATTTTGAGTTTATAATTAATTTTGAAAGAAGTCTAATAGAGAAATAAAAGAAATTGCGAAAAGTTTTGTACTCTAGTTTGATATGAAAATACTAAAAGCTCTTTTTATTTGTTATCACCGAAAATTTTGATAATTTGTTCAGGCTAGAGATTTGTATAACAAAGCTCTCATGCTCCCTATTTATCTTCCTTTTAGTATCTTGATGGTTCAATTCGAGTTTCTATCCTAGTAGCTCATCGATGAACTACTCCCAAGTTTCCCCCTAGTGATTTATCCATGAACCACTTCTAAGTTTCTCACATAGTGATTCATTTCTCAAAGAATCATTTTTAAGTTTTTTTGACTAGTGATTCATTCCTCAAAGAATCATTTTTAAGTTTCAAGTTAGTGATTCATTTTTTTGAGAATCACTCTTAAGTTTTTACCCAGTGATTTGTTTGTTTGATAATCATTTCTGAGTTCCCACCTAGTGATTCACTTCTTTGAGAATTACTCTCGAATTTTTTAACCAATGATTCGTTCTTCAAGAATCACTTTCAAGTTTGTTGCCCAGTAATTCATCCTCTAAGAATCACTCTAAGGTTTTGTTTGGTGATGATTTTTGAATCATAAGGTTCTAATCAATGCTATCAAGTTTGTTAGTTAGGACTGCCAAAGCCTTGGTAAACATTAATGGAATTTAAGTTTGATTAGTGTGGTTTTTTTGGACCATTTGTGATTCAATAAGGTCAAGCCAAGGTTTAAGAGAGTTAAGCTCTTATTTAAGCAAAACTTAGTTACTATATTGGTTTCAAATGGTCATGTAAGAGAAGGGTTGACAAAAAGAAAAATATTGTATAAGTTATTATCAAAACTTGGTTAACAGGCTCTAATACCAAGAAAGAAGGCAGAAGAGAAATAAAGAAGACTGAGAAAAATATCATACTTTATTAATCTATAAAGCCTTTTTCTGATAATCACTAATGAATATTCTAATAATATCAAATGAATACAAAATAATAGTAAATCTCAATAGAATATAAATTTCAATAGATAACAAATTTCCACATAATATATCTCCAAAGATAATATATTATAGCATATTTTAATGTGCATAGCAATCTAATTAAAAGGTCAAGAGAATTTCATTTAAAAATCACAATAGTTATTTATTTACAAATCACACTCAAAAAAAAATCTAAAAATCCACTCCAAGATTGGAGGACCTAATTGAAATAAATTTTTGATATGAAATGACCAAATTGCCCTAATGTTTAAAAACAAACATAATGAGATTAACAAGTAATGTTGGCAAATTTACAAATAAAGTCGATAATTTAACAAGTTATGATTGATAGATTTAACATAAGTTAGATATAAATGCAGAATTAAAGTTACGAACTTAACAAGTAAAACAAAGAAATTAACAAGTATAATTTTACAAGTACAATTAATAATTTGACAAGGTGTGATGAATGGATTTAATACAAGTTAGATAATATACAAGTAAAGTTATGGAGTTAACAAGTAATACAAGAAAATTAACAAGTCATGCTAATGATTTTACAAGTAAAGTTAATGATTTAACAAGTCTTGGTAGATAGATTTACTAAATGTTAGACAATGTACAACTAATATTATTGATTTAACAAGTAATATTCTTCTATTGAAAAAAATTCTATTCGAGGTATGGTCAGATATTAAACATAGATATCTCTCTTAAGGAGGATTTAAACCTAAATTTGTCACTCTATGAGGACTACCCCTCTCCATTAGACCTAATCCTTTTTGTTTTTTTTTAAATTTTAAATATTCTAATTTGCAAAGTAAGGTCTGGTGAAAGTTTTGAATGTTGTAGTTGTAGGCTTAATTTTTTTTTATATTAAAATTTAGCTTAAAATATCACTAGTTTATTCCCACTCAAAATTTTAAATTATTTAATTAATTTTTAGCTATATATTTTCTGAAGATTGTATGTGAAGATTCTCATGGCTAAGAGCATTTTATGATAACGCAAGCGCATGTTTTTATTTTTAACGATACCATATGTAATTTACATAAAATTAATTTCAAATGGTTACTAACAGTTTGAGATTAATGTGATATATTTTTTCTCTTGTTTTGTCACCCATTACTCTCAAAATCCAGAAACATCGTCTTTATAGGTCATACTAGTAAATCAACAACATAAATCAATAAATAAAATCTACCAGATATATTTAAATAATAAAACTCAAGATAATACATAAATTGTCATTACTTTTACATTAAACATATAAAACAAAGATATACTCCAGTTGTATATCTGTTCTGTGATAATCATAATATTTTGATACATTAGATAATTTGCATAACTTAATTAACATAAAATTGTAAATGATAATCACTTTACTCCATATGTATGAAGTCTGGCCCCTATCTGATGTCCTGAGTGATTTCTTCACTGGAAATTTTGAAGAAGAAAATCTTCACTAAGCATCATCTTTCTCCAGGACGATCTTCACCTTTCATGAAATAATCTTCAGCTAATATTGTTATTTAATTAAAGTAAAGATGTTGATATGCTTCCCCATCTTTGGTATTATTATTATTATTATTATTATTATTATTATTATTATTATTATTATTAAAAGAAGCATATATAGAAAATGGCAGAACAGAGGAGGAGACGGAGAAAGTTGCTGTATTTGGAGTCAACTTTTACTCATTTCTTAATCAGTTCCTTCCTCTGATCTCACTTTCATATATGCTTACTCTTAATTATTTTAAGTAATATAATTAATTAATTAATTGACCTCAATACCCTTCTCAATTCTTCCTCCTGCATAAAGTGTGATAAAAAAAATATTAATATAAAACTTAAATGTCTAAAATGTAAAACAGAGACATCTCAATTCTCACATGTGCAAAATGGAGAGTGGCCATTTTATCCCAAAAGGAGTGTGTGTATATATATATATAACTACTTTAGATATTTTAATAAGATCAGGTATCAAAACTAATAATTTACTGATAAAAGTTAATGTTTTTAATGTTTTTATATTAAATAAACACCTGGTATTAACGGCCATTGAAGCACTCACTCAGCTCCAAATCATCACGTCGCCATCACTGTGAAAAAAGTTGTCAAATATAAGTTTAAGGAAAATCATATCCAACCCCCTCTCAAATAAATTAATCACATATAAAGATCAGTGTGTAACAGATTATTGTTCAAATAGGAGCATGACTTTTTTTTTTTTTTAAATGGGACTTGTTGTTGGTTCTTATTTGTGATAAATGTTTTTGAGAGGAGGTTGGATGTAATTTTTTCTAGCTATAAAGACAATGAAATATCTATTTTCATGAAAAGACTAAAATGTAATAATTTATTCATACCATTAACTCCAAACAAGATCACCTCCCTCGGTATTAACTGCAAACAAAATGTTCAAAAGGCTAGTTGCATTAAAAATGGGCAACGCAGTGCAAGAATTTGAAATTGCACCTTAATTACCTTTATACCCTCGACATACTTGTTGCTAAGCCTGTTCCATCTTCTCGAGCACCTTCGCAGACTCTTGATTGTGCATAAGGGAAGCTCTTGAAAAGTGAAAAAAAGGCTCTGAGAAGGAACATTGGAGGTTGAAAGATATCTTGTTTGGACGGACGGGCGTAATGTATGAGGATGCTTATAATGTTTGGAATGTGAGTAAATAAGATGACTATAAGCATAAGGTTTGAGATTTGATTCTCGGACGATGATGATATTTGTATCCTCTCTCCCATCTGTGACCTGCAATGGAGAAATTAGGAAGTATATTGGAATGAACAAGCATGGTAGGATTATTTCTCCCTTTTGGCACATCAATGGAGGAACTGAAACCTAGACCAAACGTGATTGAACCCATGAGAAAGATGTTGAAGAATGAAAAGGAGGTAAGGGTATTTATAGAATTGAAAAGGCACTATGTGATGCTGATATACAAGGTGTGACAAGCATGATCCACACAGCTTACAGTTTCAGAAAAGAATGGATCTTCTGCTTTTAAACTTAAATTTTGGTTTGTAGGCTTGATCTGATAGCTAAGAAAGGGACTTAATCTTACGGTTGTAATACACATTGGCCATTGGATCAAGTATCTCTCATCAAATCAACAGATTAGATTTTAGGAGGAGGAAAAGCAATAGAGTATCGTATATTAGATGATCCAAATCTACTTTAGTAACGTTCTTTAATCACATACAGAGAACATGAATTTTGTTGATACAGTGCATGACAGTTTATAGCACTGTCAAAGTTAAACTATGACAAATAATTTAGAGCTGTCAAAGTTAGCTTAATCAGCAAGGAAATAGATATCCTTTTAAAAACAATTTTGTACTTTCCCATTTGAAATATGGTCTATTGATTTAAATCATTTTAGTAACGCTCTTTAATCAAATACCAGGAAATATGAATTATTGATATAATCATACAATGCATGGCAGATTATATTGAGCTGTCAAAGTTATAGCTTCACCAGAAAGGAAATGGATGTCCTTTTAAAAATCATATTTTATTCTCCTCTTTGAAATATGGTTTTGTTAATTTCATTCATTTTAGTAACGCTCTGTAATCAAATACAAAGAACATGAAATATGTTGATACAATGCACAAAAAGTGATATTGAACTGTCAGAGTTAAGGCTTCGCAAGCAATGAAACGGATATCCTTTTAAAAATCATATTTTACTCTCCTTGGTTTTTTGCCAGAAATTTTACCCTCCCATTTGAAATATGGTTTTGTTGATTTAATTCATTTTAGCAATGCTCTTTAATCAAATACGAAATACATTAATTATGTTGATGCAATACATCATAGATGATATTGAGCTGTGTAAGTTATAGCTTCGTCAGAAAGGAAATGAATGTCTTTTGAAATATGGTTTGTTGATTTAATCCATTTCAGCAATGCTCTTTAATCAAATGCAAAGAACATGGATCATAATGATACAACGTGTGACAGATAATATGGAGCTGTCAAAGTTATATTATAGCTTTTCTAGCAAAGAAATTGATATCCTTTTAAAATCTTGTATTCTCCTATTTGAAATATGAAATATGGTTTGCTTACTTAATCTATTAGGAAAGAGAATTGATCCAACAACCATAAATGAGCGTTACATAAATTACTGGTTGATCAAGTCTCTCTCTTAGTCATTGGATTAAACCAATGAAGTAAATTCTGTAAGGAAATAAGGAAAGAACAATTCAATTTTTTATATAGGAGATGATCTAAATCCTCTTAAACAACACTTAAATCAAATAGAGAGCATAAATATTGATGATATAGATCATGCCAAGTATTCATCAAAGCTGTCAAACTTACCATTTTAATAAGAAAATACACACTCACATTTTCTTTTGGTGAAATTGTTCTACTCCTCTTTAAAATCTAGTTTGTTGGCCTGATCCAACGATGTGCAACACATTACATATATTAACCATTGGATTAAATCTCTCTCTCAGTAGTTGGACCAAGCCAACAAACTAGATTTTGAACAAGAGAGAACAACTATAAATAATACGAGATCCGAACACATTTCAATAAAGTAACACTTAAATCAAATATAGAGAGAGTGATATAAAAAAGACAAACTTTAAGTTATACTTTGAAAAAATGACAGAGAGACCACAGGAGAATAAATTAATTTAATTTAAATTTCAAGTGCTAACTTTCAGTGATTTACAAGTTTGACTTTTAATTTTATAACTTTGTTATAATAAATTTGTAACTTATTTTTTAAATTTTAACATAGTTGTAAAATAAATAAATTTATCTTTTCTATTAAAATTTGAAATATAAGTTACAGATTTATCATAATAAAATTATAAAATTGAGAGTTGAACTTGTAAATTTTTAAAAGTTAATACTTAGAACCTATGTTAAATTAATTAATTCTTTTAGAATTTCTTTGTCATTCTTCTTTATATTTTTGCCAAGGAAGTATATCCTTTTCTTTTGAAAACCGTGTTATTCCTTCTTATTTGAATTTTGGTATGTTAGCTTCATCCAACATCTTGGGAAGGGACTTGATTCAACATATTATACAATGAAAATAACATGATTTTTTTATAGGAAAGGATCCAAATTCATTCCAACAGCTCTTAAATCAAGCACAAAGGGAACAGATCATGCTAGTGCGGGGCATGACAAGTATGATTTATCATTTTCAGACTTATGGTTTCTGCAAAGAAATAGCTATTCTCCTTTCACAAGGCATGTTGTACTTTACTGATCAAAATTTACTTTGTTAATGTTAACTTGATTCAAATGCAAGGACTACTATTATACTTAAGTTAGGATATATATTGAGCTCAAGAAAATCGAATTAGATCTGTTTTACTTTGATCACTTAGGTCAATTAAACTTCATTTGTTTAATTAGTTCAATTTAAATTGGAACTCCCTTAATACACAAGAAAAGAGGAATTGAAAGATAATTCCAGACTGTTACTCACTTATCCCTCACTAATAAGCCAATAAGGGATTATTGATAAAATGCTTTCTTTTTTTGGGGCTAAAGCGATAAAATGTAAATTTAATCCAAATGAGTTTGCACAGTACGCGTTATTTCCTTGCTGATTCTAAATTTGCCCAATATTAATAAACGTTGAAGGCACTTGATACTGACTTCAAACCTTAAAATATTGGATAATTTCTTCATTTCACTTTAGTTCAGTTTCAAACCTTAAAATATTGAATAACTTCTTCATTTCACTTTAGTTCAGTTAAAACCCTTGGATCCTCATGCGTGACACTGCTATTTCATTCTAAAACAATTGATACATGATCTTAATGCACTTACCAACCCCTATTTAACAATTCAAGAAAATCTAAACATTCCATTTTTCAAAATCCTTGGTCATCGTGATTCAATGGACAATTAGTCAATTACACACAATCGGAATTTGATGATACATGGTGTTACATGCAAACTAAGATACTGTACTGATTCTAATAGTATTGAGTCAACCTAATTTCTAATTCCTAATTTTCATATTACATAAGTTATTTTCTGTCAAATAATAATTGCAAGCCGAACATGTCAGGCTCCCATGGAATCAAGAACGTACGAAACAATCGAAGCAGCAAGTGCTCCAGAGGATTTCAATCTCACCAAGGCCTTCCTATTCCCCCAAGCCTACGAGCCAGCTCAAAATCCTTTTTCACTGGGGTAACAGAAGAAGCAAATAAAACAGATTGCTAAACAAGGAAAACAAAGATGTACGGTATTTTTCACACCATTTATACATCTCTTTAGTTACTTCTTCACCAATGATTCTCTTTCCCCCCTCTTCCATTTCTGTTATTATGGACAAAGGGTATTCTAAGACTTCGTTGAGAAAGAATTCACTTGGGCATTTTTAAGGACGCATTTCACCACAGCAATTCAGTACTTACAGAATTTTAGTCCCGTAGTGCTCCCAAAAAGAATTGAACACAGAATAATAAAGCAGATCAATACTCTTTCTAAACAAGTTAAGTAGTTAACTCACCCAAGTTACTTTACCAATGATTTGAAGTTAAAAAAGAAAAAAATTAGTGTAGGCTACTTTCTATAATAAGATATCAGATACCAGGGAAGGGTGAAAAATTGACGATGTAAAACTAGCACAACTAAATATTCATGAAGAAAAAAACAAATCAAAGTAATAAGCAGCCTGACAGAAGGAATAAAATTCTGGGATTTACAAATTCCAACTAGGGTCTAAATTAGGATGCCACGTTACTCACCAGAAGAAGCACCAAATTCACAATTAAACATAACTTATCAGCTTCTCATGACCATGGTAATCACTATACAGTTAGGTGTTGACTTAGTGGACCATATCCACGTTCATTCACCTTACCTTGAGATGATAGCTATTATTACTTACAGGGATTAAAAAATAGTAATCAAAACCATCATCACCACCAAAAGTAAAAAATAAAGGGGGGGGGAATGCATTGTTATATTGAAAAATTTTAACTTTTTATGTTTTAATTAGAAATACGTTGACCGTATTCCTTAATTAAGTGTTTGTGCTGAATTAGCTGCAAAGTTCCAGTCCCCTATCGATAAAGCATGTTTGCACTCAACCTTCTCTAAAGCCAAGAGAAAACTTTTCCAGACAACTTCCTAGAAGCATGGTACCACAGAAATGAAAGGTTGAGAGTGAATTGAACCGAAATAGGGCTACTCAGAATTTCAAAACTCAGTGCTCTATCTAAAAACAACAGGCAAAATGTTACATAAAATGAGCGCACGTGCCCTCCCATTGCAGAACTGCATCGATTTCTGCAAGTCCCAAACAAACATTCGCTGCTTCCCTCATGACCAACCCAACCACAAAGAGTAGAATGTTTGTTTTATAAGGTAACAAATTGTGATAAGCATTCGCCAGAAACAATGAAAGCAGCCAGAGATTAAAAGAAGAAAGATAAGCACATAATTGAACGAATTTATGACGATTGAAGGAAGAAAATTTAGAGAAATATATTAAAACAATTGTGTCAACTTACTAAGAGTAACACGCTTTGCATGAATAGCACACAGCATTCCATCCTCAAACAAATGAACCAGATAATCTTCAGCTGCCTGCAAGATTAATAAATAAAAATTCAGAATGAAATCATAAATGAACAATTATGTTACAGACCATGATAACATAAATCTTTCTTGAAGAAGCTAAAAGCGTTTGAATGCAAACCCTTGAAAGAACAAGTGATGTGTAGTCAAAAAAGAACTGGTGATGGCAGATTAGAACTTAGTATATGGGGTTATGACGGTAAAGGATATTACTGCGAATTGTAATAGTAAAACTCCAGGTCAGCAACTCAGCAAACAGAAAATGTTAAAAGAGTACAGTCAGTGAAAAAAAAAAAAAAAATCTCAGATTGATTAGTCATATTCAAATTTGCCACATGTGTAGAAAGATAATGTATCACATGTGTAGAAGCTTTAATTAGTGCGTAAAGAAGCATGTATGGCATTTGCACCCCATAAAAGCATCCTATCCCCAGAATTAACAAGAAATAAGGAAGTTTTTATTTATTTTATTTTCAAAATATTTCATTAAAAACAAGGAACTAGAGCTAATTGCCTTCTCACTTCTCAAACATATGGGGTTAAAAAAAAAAAAGTCTATCATCCAATAAGCTATGGATTCATTTCCACGAGATGTCGCAACAAGCATTCACGCATAATAAAGGGAAAATATCATATAACAATCAAGTGAATATCTTTTAATAACAATCAAATGAATCAGTTTGTTTGCACTTTGCCCTTTATGAATCAGTCAGTTAATTGCCCACATCTGCAATTTTCTCTGCAAGAATACTTCTACGATGAGCAATTTTTTGTCAGATGCTTTAACAGAAAGGGAGAGGGGTAAAATGCTTAGTTTCTAGCATCATAAACCACATGAAGTATAGTGCACCAGGATCAAACTACAAGGGAGTAAAGACCAGAAATGTGATCAGACATGCATCTGCTATGCGAATGTTTTGTTAAAATGTCGAAAGGAAATAATCGAAAGCCAAACTTTGTTAGCAGAACAAACCAAGGGATAAATGGCTCACATTGAACGATATGGCAAGAGGCAAATGAGCCAAATTAGAGTTCATTTTATATTTACCCTAGAAAATATTAATTAATTGGTCAAAGCACCAGATTATAATTTCTAATCATGTAGAGCATCAGAAATTTTGCATTTCAATCATAAGCAAAACATTGTCCAGGAGAAGCTAAGGAAATATAAGACGATTTTAAAAAAAAAACAACACCTACATGATAATTTCGATAAAATGCAGGCGCCACCGCACACTGACAAGTAATTACTGAGAATAGAGAGGAAAATGATATATACCTCTTGAAGAGCTAGCAAGGCTTCGGGTGTCCAGCGACTGACCTGTGTGGATAATTGGAATGTAATCTGTTTCACCTACAGCAAGATTAGAAACATTTCAATAAGCAACATTCCGTACTTATAAATCCAAAACCTAACCTGATGCATGCCAACATAGTTAATACCAAACTAATGAATATTGAGACCATATTCCTCATGAACTTTTAAAGAAAGAATGTAAGTAAAAGAAAAAGAAAAGCCATCAAAATGACATTATGAGAAAAATATACTATACAAGCATTAATCTACTGTTCTTATCTTCAAATAACTAACTAGATTGAAAACTTTAAATGGAGGTGCACCGACACCCCAAAACAAGTTTTTTTACCATGTCTAAACTCACAAGGACGGCAAGTTCTTTTATGAGACAAAAAGGTCATTTTGAAAAATAGGCTGAAATATAAGTACTGGCATTATCCAAAATAATCATACTAATACTAAAACAGCCAATATAATCTCCTAGTATTCACTTAATTACATCCAATGATCTCCAAAGCTGCAAATATGCCACAAAGTTCCATTGATCTATAATTACAAAGAGGTTAAAAGAGTGTCTGTGAGCTTTGTTTTTCTTTCCATGCACTGAAGCATGGGATATGCAGTCATCGTGTATAACATCTATAAACTCAACGAAAACCTACATTAGCATGACAAATGAAGTTAATAACTCACACATCTTATAAAAGGGGCAGCAGGGATTAGAAGTGTGACACTCTTCTGATAGTGACGAATTTCACGAAGAGCCACTGTTCCTGCTTTTATAGCGATGTTTTTTCTTCGACCTCCGGCTTCCTGATGCCATAATTTTATATTTAAACAGAAGATGAAAATTTAAAAACCATAAACTAGCAGAATCCAATTCTCCAACTAAATTAACTTATGGAGAAGATGACTTCAAGAAACTATAAGCACATACTTTGAGGCTGCTCTTCACTCCTCGGCGCACTTGTAGCTGCAGGCTTCAGAATACTCAATAGAAACAAAATATTAAAGAATAAAGTAGATTTGTTCCGAGAAAGTAAAGATGCAAAAATCATTAAGCTTAAAAACTAGAATATGAACATGGAAACAAAGACACATGAATTACAATTACAAGTTACAACTACATGCAAATGCTAATTTATTCCACATTGCGCTGTGGCTTTGGCAGTTATATTCTTTCATCAGTTTTAGACTTTTGAAATGAGACTCAATCCCTAAATCTACGGCAGGAAAAATTATATCGTAACCCTGCTCCAACACAATTTGAGGTTTTGACTTGGGCATCATAGAAGTTATCCGCGGACCAAAAACAAAACAATAAACGATGACCTATAAACACCAAAATGAACAAGAATCATCATGAGAAAAAAAAAAGGAGTTATTATTTGGATTACTTTGAAATTATGAGAAGAGAATTTATAGTTTCTGAATCCTGAGTTGACTTGGCATTGTTTGAATGAGAAAACCCACGTATATACAATCCCGATCTTCGGATTAAGGATAAATTGCAGGCAGCAAGATAAGGCGTCACAAATTCCAAAATAAGTCGTGAGTAAGCTCACATCTTCAGCTTAGCATAGATGAAGCGCATAACAATAGAATTCAATTTCCAACGCTTTGTCAGCTACCAAACACGACCAACAACAATCCCGATAACACAGATAGAGAGAATCTTACCGATTGTGGTGGTGGTGCGGCCTTCCTACCTGTGAATTTAGAGGAAAACAGATTTAGGTTTTCGAAAGGCAAAGGGGAATAAACTAAGAACACCAGAGAGAGAAAGGAAGCACCTCTTGTGCGAGAAGCTGGCGTATGCTTGATTCTAGCCATTAGAAAGAGCAATGCGGGTGGGCAAAGTACCCAGTGCTAAAGCGCGAAGGGCACACGCTGCTTGCAATTTTGCAGAAACCTGCTTTGCTGTCTGCCTCGTTCAAATTCTCGCGCGCCTTTAGTAGCCAAAAATAATTTCTGCTGCCCATTTTCTTTTTTAATTTCACACACACACACAGGGTGGGGTTAAAAATGTAATAATCGTTAAATTTCTTCAAAACAATTATTAGTAAGAATGATGCAGAGATAGATATTACTCGTTGTCGGCCTCTAGAGTCATGAGCCCATATTGGGAATCAAAAGCATGGGCTGAACACTGACAGCCCAATCCGTAATTACATTCCCTCGGCTGTTGTGGTTGAACTTCCAAGAGAGGCTGACGGGCCTCCTGTGGGCCTAAAGTTTACTGAAGCGGCCACTTCAGCTCTGGTGCCGTATCTTAGGCTCTTACCTAAAACAGAAATAAAGATTCTATTTAAATAAAAATTTAGATTTTAAAATTAAATTTTTTTAAAATAATTGAGCTAGAGGGCCTAACCTTAATAAATTTTATAAAAAAGAACTCGAGCTTATACAGTCCTTCAAATCCTGTTATATTATTAATATTTTTTTTGTGGAATATATGTTTGAAGTCAAGAAGGACTTGCTCGCTTGAAGTTTTGATCCTACACTCATTATATTATTATTAATTTTAATTTATTATTTTAATAAATATCAGTGTACAGTATAAATTTTTTAATATTTTTTATTTTTTTATAATTATTATATTTGTGTATTTATAAAAAATAAATTATTTTTTAATCAAGATTTAAATTTTCTTACTAGACTTATGAAAGTGTGTTGTTTAATTTTTAAAACCTTATAAGGATTTTTATTTTTTTAATGTCAAAATATTTTAATTAATTTATAGTGCTTAATTTTTTTTAATTAGCCCTTCAAATAAAGGTTAGGCCTCAAAAAAAAGATAAAAAATAAAAAATCAGACTTAAAGGCTCAGGGGTCCACCCGTTTATCCTATCTCTATAGTTTCACCCATGTCTGCAGTCACCCATGAACTAAACAATATACTCCCTCTGATCTTATTTATAAAATATCTTTTAAAAATAATTTTTTATTCAAAATATAAAATATTTGTAATAATTAAATTATTTTTTAAATTTTATTCTTTATTGATTAGTGTAAAAATATTTTTATATAATTATATTATTATAAAAAGTTAATAATAAAAGTAAAATTTATTTTATTTTTTATAAAAAATTAAATTTTTTTAAAATGCATAAAATAATTAAAAGTGTCTTTCAATAACATGAGCAAATAGCACTTAAATGTGCTTAGAAGACCATTGGAGCCTACTCTGTCTTAAATGTCGAAGGCTCTTCATTAATGATGAGACACCAGCAAAGAGGGAGTCATTATCGGCTTCACCTAAGAGCTCAAAGAAGAGAAGCTCCTGCAAAAATATTAAGAAACAAATCAAGTGTGTAAGGGGAGGAAGACAAAGGCAAGCCATGGTAGTAGTAACATCAAAAGGCAGGGTGAACAAGTACGAATTAATTTTCTGGAAGGGGCGTTTGTGTTTGGGGAAGATGATTTGTCAGAGAAGGGGGAAATTCCTGAGTCAAATGTCGATGGTAAGGATGAACCCGCTACTGGTGCATATGAAAATACTATCTTAAACTTTCAAGGGTTAGGAGTTCCCTTGACAATTAAAATTCTCAAGGATGAGTGTAGAAAGAATAATCCCCAAATAGTTTTCCTTATGGAAACTAAACAAGAGAAGCGGTATGTTAGTAAAATTAAAAGGAAATGTAGTTTTGAGGAGGTGTGGATTGTGGATCCGATTGGTAGGAAGGGGGCTTGCTGTTTGGTAAAAGCATGATGTTGTTATTTCATCTTCTATAAGTGTGATTCATACCATTATCTTCTCATCTACTCAGGATACCTTTTATTGTATCTCATTTATTTATGGTCTACCCAAAGAATGTGAAAGATTGTAGGTATGGTAGATGATAGCTGTGTAGGCATTAGGGCATTCAGGACTTGTGGATTTGTCTAGGTGATTTTAATGATATTATGTCTCATAAAGAGAAGGAGGGAGGAAAGCCTCGTACAGTTTAAAAGATGCTCAACTTTAAAGATTCATTATTGACTTTTCATTAATAGACTTGGGTTATAATGGTTCTTGTCTTACTTGGTGCAACGGGAGACAGGATCTAAAGACTATCGAGGAGTGCATTGATCGAGCTCTTAGGAATGAGATATTATGTGAAGTTTTTCGAAAAGTACAAGTTTTCAATATAGACCCAATAGGATCTGATCAATCCCTTGTCAGTGGATCTCTGTCATACAGTTGGTAAATCGGCCATATCTTTTAAATTTGAAACTTTTCTGGACCTCTCAACCTTAGTTCTTGCACGTGGTATGATAGCTAGAGGCACTAGAATGATTAGCAACAAGTTAATGAGATAGAAGTTTTTACTTCTAAACTTCAAGCTTACAAGTAGTCTCTCATTAAGTGGAGTGCAAAAGCTTTTCCTAACAATGAGAAGGGTATTAACCAATTGAGACACAAATTAGTAGACTATAGAAAAAGGGCTTTAAATGAGGACGGCATCAAGCTAGCAGATAAGATCAAAGCTGAGATCGAGGAGCTCGTGGATAGAGAGGAAGTGTCTCGGATGGCAATGCTCTAGGATCTCTTGGTCACAAGCAAGTGATAGAAATTCTAAATTTTTTCATCCATCTATAATTACAAGGCATCAAAGGAATAGCATCCTCAAGATCAAAGATGAATCAGGTTGTTGGCTAAATAATCAATTTGATATCTCACATAGTTTTCTGAGTTATTATAATAATCTTTTTACTGCCTCTATCCATACTCTTTTGATGTTGCACTTAGCTATCTAGATCTAAGAATTAATGATTTGTTAACGAGAGGTTGTTGCTATTGGATAGGGAGGTGCAATGAAAATTAAAATTTTAAAGTCTTCTATCCTGATATGAACCGAATAAACTCATTTAAGTCAAGGTGGATAGAAGATTATCTTTTAATTCTTTGAACTTGGCGCATGTTTTCTTCAAGAATTTGGATCTTAGGAGCTGACAATATAGATCTGCTCCCTATACCGGTATCCACACGAATAACTTTTTAACTCAAATAGCGTGTACTAGCGCTTCCAACGTCCGTTCTTCTTGAACGTTAGTTTTCCTTTTCTATAAGGTGTTTCGTGACTCTCAAAATTTTTTACTATCAAAACTTTTATAACCTCTCCTTCTTCATAAAAGACGTCCTTATCATATGGATCATAGTTTTCGATCTCATCCTTATCTATATATAGTATATGGATCATAGTTTTCGTCTTCCACTTAAAAAGCCCACTAAAACTTAATTAAATTTATTTCATAAATTTAATTCATGATATCATATCTAATTTAAATTTATCTTATAAATTTAAATTATAAAACTAACATGATATTTTGTCATATCATGTTAGTTATTAATTAATCTATCATATAAAATTAAATTTAAAACTAACACAATATAATATAATATAATAATACATATACATATACATATATATATATATATATTACATATACGTATTATATTTTATATATATATACACACACATATATTTCAAAAATTATATATATATTATATTTAATTTTTTATATCACATACATATGCATATATCGATACACACACATATGAATATATATATATTATATTTCAAATATATATAATTATATTTTAAATTTTATATTTCATATATAAATGTTTATCAAATAAATATTCATATATATATATATATAATTCATTCACCCTATATTACATTCATTAAATCTAGACATATTTCACATTCAATGAATTTGGACATTATAACTTAAGTTGGCTGTTCTTTGTGTGACCCTGTAGGTCCATATGAAGTTGGCAGTAGACTAATTATGCTATTAACCTCATAAGTCACAAATGGCTTCTAGCAAGACATTGCAACTACCTGATTCACATAGGGATTAATAATTCGATATAACTTATCAAGCAACCGTATCACTTCCCTTTTATTATATGATATTTTGGTCAAGTGTGAGACATGGAATTATCATTTTCCTTTACTTGATTGTTACTTTCTCGATCTTGAGTAGACTGATTATAACAATGGAAAAACTTTTTTCATTATAGTATGGCCATATATTTTCTCAGTCTTACTCATCGAGGGGCCAGTAATATCTCTCACTTAATGTGAGGGACAATTTCATCTTGACCACTCATGTTCCTCTGCATGGATATCACTAAACTCAATCATAGCCTTTATGATCACCCGGTCAAAGGTGACTTTTAATTAGGTCAAAGTTCAGTGCATCATGTAAAAAGCTATGATGACCTCAAGTTAAAGGGCTTAGTGATATAGTTACATATGAGATAAGCTTATGACTTGTACTATGCAGCTTTCTCATAGTAGGTCAATCCAGCACTTTTGTATTCTTTCAAGTGCTTATGACTTGGATTTGTATCTTTATAATTAATTCAAAGTTATACTAATCTTGTTTCATCCATGATCCCTCATAGATGACCGACTAGGGACATTTAAGATAATCACTATAGTTTGTCCAAGGATACAGTTATTATAATGAACATGCAACTGATATGATAATAAAAAAAAATTTATTAAATAACAAGGTGCATAGTATAATGATTGGCTTTAAGGGTATAATTTTCAATAGTTGTTTCCAGTTACTTTGAGTGAAGTGCCTGATACTACTTTTAGTTTGGGAGCTTCTAAAGCTCCAGGTCCTGATGGTTTCTCAAGCAAATTATTTCAATCTATTTTTGCTATGGTTAGGAATTTCTTTTATGGTAGTATTAGTGTGGTTGAAATTAATAAAGCCAATATTACTCTTATTCCTAAGATTGATAAACCTAAGTTCGTGTCTCATTTTTGACCTATTGAGCTTTGTAGTTTCTCTTACAAGGTTATTTCTAAAATCCTTGCTACTAGATTGAAGCCTACCTTAATAAGTGCACAAATCCTAGTCAAGGTGCTTTTTATTTTAGGGAGATGTATTCAAGACAATATTATTACCGTCCATGAAGTCTATCATTATCTTAGAAGGAAATATAACTATAAGAAATTCAAGTTTGCTCTTAAGATGGACATGAGCAATGCTCATGATAGGGTGGAATGGGACTTTCTTTGTCATGTGATCTTGAAATTTGGTTTTTATAGTTGTTGATTCAATTTGATTATGAATTGTGTGAATCTGTGAATCTAAACCTGTGCTTATTAGGTTGTAAGGCTGTATCTATTAAGTCAGGAAGGGGCTTAAGACAAGATGATCCATTATCACCATATCTCTTTATTCTTGTATTGGAGGTCCTGTCCAATATGATTCAAAAATCTCAGGAACAACACCTATTGGCTGGCATTAGAATGAGTAGAGATTGCCCTGAGGTGACTCATAATTCTTTGAAATGATTTTCTTTTCTTTATGAATGCCTCTATTCAGAACTATAGATATCTAGCTAAGCTTTCGAAAATTTATTGTGAGGCATTGGGTTAGGGACAAATCTACGATTTTTTTTCTAAATAAGAACACACCAATTTTGATCAGAAATGCAATTCGTGCTACTTTGAATATTGGTGCTGCTGCTGATGACCCTGGGAAGTATTTGGGCATCCCAAGTGTTTGGGGGAAAACCAAGTATCAAGCAGTCTCTTTTGTTCAAGATAGAGAGTGCAACAAAGTAAATGCATGGAGAAGAAAATTCCTCTCACAAACAGGACGCGAGACCTTGATCAAAGCTGTGATTAATATTATTCCGACCTTTTCTATGCTATGCTTCAAAATTTTGGTGCAAACTTGTATAGCCTCGATAGTCTTATCTCCAACTTTTGGTGGTATGGCTCTGATGCTGGTAATAAAATTCACTGGTTAGCTTGGAAAATATGACTGCCCCAAAGGAGGAGGGAGGTGTGGGGTTTAAAGACTTTATATGTTATAATTAATCTCTGCTAGCTAAAACAGGCTTATTCAAAATACTAATGAGTTGCGGGCACGAATGTTAAAAGGGAACTATTTTCCTAAGCATCACTTACTTGATTCTAAGAAAGGGTCTCATGCTTTTTGGTGTTGGTCGAATTTAGTTAAGCGTCGTGACTTCTCAAAACCTAATCTGTGTTGGCAAATTGGAGATGGCCTCTCTGTCCAGATTTAGAAGGATAAGTGGATTCCCTCTCTTCCCTCTAATCGTCTAACTATTGATAACTAAGCATTGGCCAAATCCAATATTATGGTTTCTACACTAATTACTAATCGATAATGGATGTTTGACGGACTGCGAAATCTAGTTGATGATCAATCTTTAACGGCAATCTTGCATATCCCTTTAGCAGCCCTTGTGTCTTGTAATAAAGTGTTCTGATACTTGGCGGATAATAGACAATACACTGTTAAATGTAGGTATGCTAAGGCGATGGAGGCAAAGAAAATCCAAAATTCTGATGTGGCTCACTTGTAGTTTCAGGTGTTGTTTGGAAAAAGGTATGGAAAATTAAAACCATCCCCCGCATTACTCATTTTTATAGCGTGTCTTATCTAGGCGTCTTGCTACAAATGAGGCCTTAGTTTGTCGTCGTAGAAGGCTTGTAAGCTTTGTCCTGTATGTGAAATTGATATTGAAACTATAGAGCACCTCTTTTTCCTTTGTCCTTGGACCCGTTGCATTTGGTTTGGTAGTGGCCTTACATTAAAAACTAATCTACTGCAACTTAAGAATTTTAGGGATTGGTGGGCTGACATTATTTCTGGAAATGGGGTTATTAAAGAGTTTAGGTGGCCCTTATTTGTTGGATTTTATGGCTCATTTGGAAGGCTCAAAATGATAAAGTTTTCAATCATTTGGATGTTAATCCAAGCTTAGTGATTGAAAATGCAAAGACAGGCATTGATGAGTACTGGAATGCCTGTGGTTTTTTCTCTGATGCTGCCCTTGCTAATCTTGAACATGCTTGTGTGCATTTCTGGAGTCTACCTCCAGCTGGGTTTTGGTAACATCTATCAAAGACACAAAGGAGGCTACCGTAGGTGTTATTTGCATAGATGGTTCTGGTTTTTTTTTTTTTTGTGGTGGGGTTTTATTGATAAAAGTAAAATCCATTTCCACATACATGACTGAAGCCCTTGTGCTTGGAAGGGCGCTGCTGCTGGTTCTGGATCTTAGTTGTGATAAAATAATATTTGAAAGCAACTGCTTATTGCTGGTAAATTGTATTCAAATGGGCCAACCTGATCTTGGTGATTGGAGATGCAGGAGCATTATTGATGATATTATCAGTCTCATGGCTACCAAAGCTAGGTTTTCTATCACCTTTGTTCTGTGCGAAAGTAATTTTGCAGCTGCCTCTCTCTCTCAAGGAAGTGAATCCGATGGATGGGTGTTTTCACCATTACCTCTTTTGTCCCTGGTTCTAGCTAAGGATGCTGTGACCCATGGAATGTCTTTAACCTTGGACGTGCCTTCTTCCTCAGGTATTGACGTTGGTTGATCTGTTTATGTCATTCTTGTATGTTCTGCTTTTGCTGTGTTTTTGACGCTTTGCTCGTTGTATTTGTTCGGTGACACTTTCTATGATTAATAGAATGGAGTACTTCCTTGGCCAAAAAATTAAATCGTGAATTTTCTATGTTTTATATTGAATGTTAACATGCATTGATTTTGATATTATAATTATAAAAAAAACTAAAGTGTTTTTCATCAGTAACAAAAACTGCCCCCTCAAGAGATTTTGAAGACACAGATGAATTTTGTTGTTACATGATGTGTACTACACGAGGTTATTGCCGTTATAATTCCACTCTTTAGCAAACAAAAAAGAATACAAAATAAGTTTTGTTTGGAGAATTTAAAAAATTATTAATTGTACATTATTCAACAATGAAATTTGAAATCATAATTTAGTTTTCTTATGTGAGAAAAGCTTAAATGAGTTAGATCATACAAGCTCGTCAGAGAGGCAGGCTTCCAGAGCCAAAGCAATTATAAAGATAATTACAGATAATCAACCAGCAAAATTCTTATATTGACATTGAGATTTGATTTCACAATCTAAGTTATAAATCAAATCCTTCATCAACCGAATCAATTTTTATTGATAAAATCAAAATTTAGTTTTCCAGTTATCCCTGTCTTACACACACACACACACACACACACACACACACACACCATTTTCACATTATTTTAGAACTACCCTCCATCTGTTCGTTTGCCACCTGTTTGATCATGTAATTCCAACCACAGTTGAAGCTCCTAAACGATGTCTGGGTGAAAATAATTAGAAGTAGAACAAAGTAGAACAAACCAAAATCACATTTTGTCAAAAGCTAAAGTAATAACGTAGTTTTAACTTGTTCCCACATTTTTTTTCTTCCAAATTTACACGGAGCTGCTGAGCAGAAGTGTCAACTAAATGCGCTATTGTTGTTTCAACAACAAAAGGTGACATCACCAATTTTCAATAATGTTCAGCGCTCATATTGACAAGGGGGAAAATCAAAAGGAGCAATTGTTAATCAAAATAACTTTCTTTCTCTCTTTAAAAGTCCTCTTTACCATTATTAGTTTTATAAATTAATCAAACAACTGACTTCATGTCAACAACAGAAGTTTGTACTAGGAGACAGTATTTTTTTTTTTTTAATCTTAAATAGCCAAAGCCGATTTAGACAATAAAAGAAAGAAAGAAACACAACTGTTGACATATGAAAGATCAAAAGAAAGATCGTTTAAGAAGAGAACTATCAACTCAAAAAATTACCATAAGACAAAGAACAAATCTCAACAGGACAAACGCAGTCACTTGGAATCTTGGACAAATAACAAAGCTTTTTAAACAAACAAGCTCCAGCCTGAGTAATGGGTAATATTAAAACCTGCTGTTTGTCGCTTTCATAGAAGATCAAAAAAGTAATCCAAACCTTGGCCAATTTCCCAGATTGAAATACCACATCCCCATAAACGGGCTTCCTCTAGGCGCAAAGAAATTGACTTTAAAGAAGGATAGAACACGACGTGCTTATTATCCTCGTCGTCAATGTAAAAGAAGAAATGCTCACCACTATTCTCATCCCACTGTAGTAAAGGGCGGTGCTTCTCCAAAAGTGATAGGTAATCCCTTCCGAGAATAGCTCCCCCTCCTGAACCTGCACTTCCAAATTTTAATGAACAACAAAGATGCCTGCATTAATTTTTTGAATGCTAAAAAGAGAGAGTAAAATATCGTGCAAAGTTCCCGTCAATATCAATATAAATATAAATTATCAAATCTATAAGAGATCAGATCATACTCTTTACAAGCCACAAACAACTGGCTCATTTCTCAGACTCATGCAATCCACATAATTATCTAATTGATTAATTGTGTAAAAAATGAAAAGGCTTTAGGTGTGCTTTTTAAGATCATCCTGGTTTTTTAATTAAAAAAAACATGAAAACATGACACGTAGGGAAAAAATTCAACTCAATTGATTTAAAAAAAAAAAAAAGAGTACCTACATATGCTATATTTTTATGTGCTTAATCAAAGTCTTATCCTATCAGAAGCCCCCAAAATAAAAACGTGCAAGATCTAGTGCAATAATGGCTTTGTAAGTAATATACTCAAATCCACCAAGGATGACAAAAGTCCTATTCAATCATCTCCAACAGTTGGGGATGAAATAGCACGGTCTTATAAATTGACAGATAAACCAAAAAAAATGGTAGACCTTGATAAGGTGCACCTCCGGAAAAGAATCAAGCTATGCATATACTGCATGTAAATCAAGGAATCAAAGCAAGCAGAAACCTCTGGAAAGGGAGAAATCATTTCCATAAAAGTTGATGCCAAGGAGTATCTTATTGGTGAGGCTCTTGGCTCTGTGGCCAGGGGTGCTAAGAAGCAGATTCAAAGTAAACTGAATCCACTTCAATGGTGCATTAGGGCCTGGGTTATGAGGACTGGAGAAGTCATATGTCATTAAAGAAAATCCATCCACAGCTTCACTCAAGCTCTCAAGATCTTTTGGACCAAAGTCATGCTCTTGGAGCTTCTCTGAAGATGGTGGGCCTATGACATAAATCAACTGCAACTGCTGTTCAACATTTCTGCCTGATGCAGAATGCAAAGCTTCTCCAAGGTGTTTTATAAACAGCAACGCCTGTACTTGAAAAAAAGGAAAAGCACAACATCAAGTACTATCATGAGCAAAATGTTGAACTGTGGCCCATGGAAAACATAACCGTTGGGCTTATAACGTTCTATTTGCCTATATGCTGAGAGAATGACAGCATTAAAATATGTCTCAGGCATGCAGGTGAAAAGATACCAAAAAAGAAACAAGTCCAAATAATTTGCAGATAAATAGCCAAATAAAGATACATGTGAAAAGGGAACTATTTAGACTGAATTTAAAGACCATAAAATTTTAAACCATCAATATGTAATATAACTAGTAGATTCTTTTTGACCAACAGTAATACCATTAGACGAAGTGCCTAAACCTAGGAAGCAGAATGGTACTTCGACAATTAGTAGCCATATCCATGAAAAAAGCGTAAACTGAATATTAGCCCTATATTATTTAAAACAGAGTTCCAACCTCCAAACAATAATTTTGCCCAATAAAAGTCTTTGGTAATGATGAAAAGGATGAACTACTCACCAAATTTCGCATGTTTGGCTCATGCAAGATCCCATAAGCTACCCATCTCGACCAAGATTCCAAGACAATACCATCATATCCCATTTCCCTACAGGCAGAGAGTATCCACATAAAAGATGGATCAGTGTACAGAATTTAACAAGAAATAAAAGGCATTATGTATAGATTTTTAATGAAGATTCATAATAGCAGTTCAATGATAGACAACTCTTCCTTTTTCAGGTTTAGATGTTTGGATTTTCCTAGCATACAGATTCTGAAATTGTCTAAAAAGATGAGTCCAGAAGAAAGATAGGATCTTTACTTGCACTCTGTGATTATAAGGTTAATAGCTTTGTTCCTTTGTTTCTTCTTTGTCAACAACTCTACTGGCGATGCTTCCAAGACAACTCTAGGCAAAATCTGCATGTAAAGTTAAATAAGGTCAGAGTTAAAGAAGAGGAGAACAATATTCAAAGGCAGATAAATAAATGCAAGGTATCACAAACTATTAAACTAGCCTTAAATAAAGGTGGTCAAAGAAGAGGTAACACGTGTATCTGATAGAGCTGGAAAACTTATCAAGACATATGAGAGGAAATTGAGGGGGAGACAAGGGACAGAGAGGAAAGATCCAGCAGTTTAAGGTTATTGCACTAAGGGTCCTGAAAATAGGGAGAAGTCATGATACTTGTGAAGTGGCTGTAGACTCAGCATAGAAGCTAGAGTTACTTTTGGGTTGCTTTAATATTGTACTTTGTTTTGGGAAGGAGTCATGAAGAATGTTTTGGAGAGAAGATACAAGTGAGGAGAGTCCTGGTCTCTCGAAAAACCAGCGAGGGGCTGTTTCAACATTTGTTCTTGTAATCTTGGTACTGAATAGGGAATAGGGTTTTGGCCAGAATCAGTGAAAGTCCTTTTGTAACACTAATTCGGTTATTCAATCATTAATAGCAAAACCTCAGCATTTCCCTCATTAATTGCTGGTTTTATAGTTTTATGTTGTTGTGCATTTAATTTTAGAGTTGGGTTCTATCAGTATCCTTATTCGTTACTAAGTTCTGAGAGGGCAAGTGGTAAAAGATAATGAAATTCATCACAATCACTCTTGGCTAAGGGACAGTAACAAAGCATTCAACATGACTTACATCGGGGATAGTGGCAATAAGAAGATTGCAATCTTTGAGGCTTGGAAAATATTCCATTTCTAGATGTGAATTTTCAAGTTACTTTTTGTTCTTAGTCATTTAAGGTGTCACATTCTATTACAGGGTTTAAAGTGGCCAAATATTTGAATGGATAAGAGATTGAACACAGTGAACCAAATCCAAACCAACTTCCTAAATCACCACCACTCCCATCAGCAAATTCATACATAATTCCCCAATTCAATTCTGACGTTCTGCTTTTTTGTTTAGAAATCCACAATCAAGAATATCATCAACTGTATAGCTTTCAAAATTAAAATCAGCTATGAGCAAAATTAATGAGTTGACCGAGGATGAAGTCAATTCAATGATGGCAAAATCCACAATCATGAGATTTACTTATTCTTACCAAAGCATCTCGTGTATTTTTAAGCTCTGAGATCCATCCCTTGTCAGCATTATGTCTTCCCTTCAAAACTAAGCTATTCTGTTGGCTGGCAATGAGAATTGATGAAGCAAACAATAGAGCAAGATAATGATGATGATGATAATTTAATAGAAACTTTCTAATTAACCCCCAGCCTTTATTAATATACACTTAAAATTCCTCTACAATGAAGAAAATTCAGATGATCCCTTTGGTTATAATATCTGTTTGAAACATTAATTTGCAAAGAAAACCTTAGCATATAACACCCTCATTCCTCCTATTCTTCAGTAAGTCATCTTGGACTTATTGATTACCTCTTCAACTCATACCAAACAGGTGATAAATGTGTGAACTTTGAGTTGAAACGTTTTGCCAATTCATAACCCTTGGAATTCCTGCAATATTTAACACATAAAGATACATAATGTGAAGATGCCTTCAATGGGGGGAATTGTTCATAGAGGAAAGTATCCGGCTAGAATATATACAATCAGAATTGAATTTTAATTACCAATATATGACGATTTTTCTTTGAGTGCATCACCTAAACAAGCAATGCTAAAGGATACATGCCTTTTACAAAAACATGGCTCTTGTAATGAATAGCGTGCATACTATAAAGTCGTTTTCCTTCTTCAAAAGGATCACCTTCCAAGACCAAACTCTAGTATGCTAATAACCATTTTCAGCAGCACTTGAATGTTAGAAACTAGGTTCAAATAAGGTTATACGATTTCCTCATTAAGTAACAAGTATTACATGTCAGGTATCAGAGTTCTATTTTAAAAGTACTAAGTTTAGAGTGGCCCCTGCACAAGGAATCGAGAATATTACTAAGTTTGTTTTTTTTTTTTTTTTTTGCGGCAAACTCAACGAGAAGCTACAAAAACATACCACGGAGTAACGTAGCCAAGCACAGGATAATCATAGTGCCGTCGAGAAGTATTTTCTGATACTTTCGAATTCTCCTAATACCTTGCAAAATCACGAAGTTAGGTATTATAAAAGCTGAACTCTCTCTTACACCCTGTTTGGCAGCCAAATTTTCAGAAAAGAAAATGCCTCCCCGAACATGACAGTTAATTTAAATGAAAGAGAAATCTCCTAATCACTAATCTCCTTTTCCTCAAAAACTTTCTCGCCGATTAAACAGTGGAATCAGTCTTTGGCACGACTTACAGTCAGCACATCTTGGCAACTTAAATCGGCTTTCACAATGTCTTGTTGATATGTGTGCGTATGAGAGTACTTAAACTGGTACACGATCACGGAAATGGTGGAAGACGCGATGAAGAAGAGGACCAAGAAGGAAACGAGTTTGCAACCTGAAACCGAGTCACCCCGTTTATCGCGTCGGGTGGACGATTCGACACGGTTATCGCTGTTGGCTGAACTCGGCGCGGATCGACGTTCTCGTTTCTTGGCCATGTCGGAAGTAACGGGACCAGTAGCTTTGCACCTTTGCAGTCCGAGCTCTGAGCTGTTCAATGCCTAATGCTTCGTTTGGTACAATGAAAATAACTTTGATAAAAATAAAAATTAACATAAAAGTAAAAATGAATATAAATGTGAAAGTGGATATGAAATTTAAAAATATATTTGATATATTCATAAAATTAAAAAAATATTTTTATTAAATATTAATATTAAAAATATGAAAAGACTAAAATGTCTCTCATTTTAAAAAATTTGCCCCAACCCATATCATTTGAATCGAAGCAAATGCATTTATGCAAGCAAAAATTAAGTAAAATACATTTATGCAAAAATCATGATCCATTAGAAATTGCAGATGCAACCTCCATTAACAATTGATTCAAATAGGTGGAAGCAAGAGATGGCACAAAGGAAGATGATGACATCATTGAGGTTCTGAAAACTAATTGCCCATGGCAATGTCGCTGCCATCGCTGAGGACTTCCTTAGATGCACTAAGGTTTCAATCGCTAACCAGATAGTTACAAAAGCAAGAACCAACAAAGTGAATCAGTGAAGAACAAAACCCATAGCACCCTCGACAACTTCTCTTTACGAATTGATAAGAGAAAGGGAAGAAGACAAAATGACAGAGAGTGGTGGAAGTAGAATTAGTAAGGGAGGAGGTTGTTGATGTTGGAAAACAAGCGACGGTGGCTAAGCAATAGAGTTTGGAGATCGAACATTGAAGGTTGATCTTCACTACCAATGTTGAGAAGGTCGGTATCATTCACTCATGAAAAGGTGTGAGGGGAGACGAGAGAAAGGGTAAAAACTGAAAGAGGATACATGGAATTGCAAAATTGACTACTTTTTTTTTATGTAACCCAATTCCATCAATTTTGATAGAAATGGTTTTCATGTGAAAGTCAAATTCAACTTCATCTTAATCAACTAAATGTAAAAAAATTTCAATTACATCTCCATATCTATTTTTACCCTTTAAATTCCATCATACCAAACGAGCCCTAAGTTCTTGCCGCTAAAACGATGTCGTTTTTCTACATCTAACTCAACAACAAAATGTCGTCGTCTAGTGCCATCTTGTCCTGTATCCAAATTTTTCATGCTCATAAGCAGTGTCTTCAATCATCAGCTCTTCTCCGTAGGTGATCAGATCCTCTCATTATTCATTTTCTTAACGTCTCTTGTAATCTTCAAATCCTATGCATTAAATAATTCATTGATCCATAGTGTGCCACATTATACAGATTTAAAAAAGGATTAAAGAGCTTATTTACTTTGCAACTTTTTTTTTCAGGAGTATTAAATATCTTAAATTTTTGTTTGGAATTTTTTTATTTAGGAACTTTTAAAGGGGAGCAATTTTGCTTTGCCATCGGATTTAACCGTCAGTTGACTGTGTTTTACCGCATGGCATACTTTAAAAAACTTAAAGAGGAAGAAGAAGAATCACATGTGGCTTTCAAGCTTCTCTACCTCCTTTTCTTCCTTCATCGACTTCTCTTCTCCATCTTTTTCCTTCCTTAATTAGACAAGTGAAGCTTTGAACCCTTCATTTGAGAGCAAAGTAAGGAGTGGGAATCGATCCCTCCTTCATTTGAGAGTAGAGCATGGCGTGTCAAAGGCTCCTTCCTTTCACCATATCTGAAGCTTCAAACCTTGAAGGAACATTCCCCTAAATGCCACCTTTCACCATCCAAATAAATGGATCCCACTCTTTTCTAACATAGATGCAATGCCCTCTACTTGATTTCCACTCAGAAAAGCTTGTCAGTAATCACACATACACCATCTAATGATCCTCGTAACCGTTAAGCCACGATATGATGTCGTTCATTGAGATAGAGTTGGAGAAGAAAGCAGATGAATTATAGAGTTGGATGTATAATGATGAGGGGGAAAGAATGGATGAGATGGAGTAAGAGAAGAGGATGACAATAAAAAAAAAAGGTTTGATTTTTCTGCTTTTAAGGTGTTAACGATCTGGATTTGTTCTGTAACTTTCTTCTAACCCATTGTTCGAGTTTCATGGAGCTAGGTTCATCTCCCTATTTTTTATATCTCTAAATTGCCCCCATTTTCAAGTTGGGTTTTTAGTCGTGCTTCCAATTAAATTGGTGATTTCTTGTATTCTACTTCTTTAGATTTTGTGGTTTTGAAAGAGTCTGTGTTTGATTAAAACCACACATGTCTGTATATTTTTTCTCAGATTAGGTGAATTCGTGTAGCTTTCTCTTGATGCTAGACATTTTTTTTCCAAAACTTTATGGTGAAGCCGCATGGTTGTTCACCCTACTAATTGAATTGATGAGTTTGATCTCTTTTATTTGTGCCTCTTCTATTTGGGCATTGCTTTTTTTACTGATCTAGTTTTTAGGATCACTTTAGTTAAATTTGTGAGTTCTAGGTTGAAGACAATATCAGCGTCTACAAATTTCATTTTGAGTTCCTAAACGCTTTGGATTTTAGATCTAAACTAGACTGTTTTTCATGCGTTGTATGAGTTGGATTTAAAAAATTTGAAACAAACACCTTAGATACTATTTATATCAACACATTTAAGATTGTTAAATTTTTGAAAGTTTCTCTATTTAATTATTTTCCTTCTTCTTCAATATTTTGTTCACATATATATTGTCTTTATTTTTAAAGCCTATAGTAAATTATAAATATAATTTAAAAAAATCAAATTTTTAATGATTCTATTATACATGATTATGGTGCGAAAACTTTTGGATAAGTATCCTTTTATTTTTTTAAATGATGTAAAAAATGTGAATTATGAACTTTTTTTTTATATTTGAAATATATAAAACATAATTATATTTCTTATTTTTATTTCATGCTTATAGCGTATTGTCAAAAAAATTGTAACACAAATATTTTTTTCATTGAAATTGTATATAATTATATGTCTAATAATTTAAAAGTGAGCAAATTAATCTTTGTAAATTGCTAAGGTTTAATAACACAGATGCTCGCTAAGAGGTATAACAAACTTCCTCAAATACTCAAGTGCATGCCATTGGCACTCTAAAAAAAAGCTGAGACAAATGGAATTATTACTCATGTAAAATTTAAATTTTATATTTAAAATTTAATAATAAGATATATAAATTTTTAAAGATAGAAATTAGAGAATATTGAGATATGTGAAATAAATGAAAAAGTTGAGACAGATGGAGTTACTACTCCCGTAAAATTTAAATTTTATATTTAAAATTTAATAATGAGATACATGAATTTTTAAAGATAGAAACTGAAAAATAATGAGAGATGTGAGATAAATGAAAAAGTTGAGATGAATGGAGTTACTACTCCGACAAAATTTAAATTTTATATTTAAAATTTAATAATAAAATACATGAATTCTTAAAGATAGAGATGAGAGAATATTGAGAGACACAAGATAAATAAAAAAGTTGAGACAGATAGACTTACTGTTCTCGTAAAACTTAAACTTTATATTTAAAATTTAATAATGAAATACATAAATTTTTAAAGATAGAGACTGAAAAATATTAAAAGATGCTAGATAAATGAAAAAGTTGAGATAGATGGAGTTACAATTTCCATAAAACTTGAATTTAATATTTAAAATTTAACAATAAGATACATGAATTCTTAAACATAAAGATCAGAGAATATTGAGATATATGAGATAAATAAAAAAGCTGAAACGAATGGAGTTAATACTCCTATAAAAATTGAATTTGATATTTAGAATTTAATATATGAATTCTTAAAGATAGAAATTAAAAAAATTGAGAGACACGAGATAAATGAAAAAGTTAAGATGAATAGAGTTACTATAGAACTTGAGTTTTATATTTAAAATTTAATAATGAGATATATGACAAATAAAATGAATCAATGAATGAACCAATAGCATCAAAGAAATTCTAACCAATCAATGATTTTCTACAATATATATATATATATATATATTGATTTAAAGTTGGTCATCTTTTTCTAAGAATATACAAGGTAGTAGGGGTGGTCGGAGGGAGTAAGTATTCAAGGTGGTGGTGGTTCAGGTGAAAGGAAACGAAGGTAGAAGAAGTGGAACTCCGTGATTGAAGATCTAAAAGAGAAAGAGGAAATTACATCCACATATTTTTTAAAAATTTTAAAATGCCACATGGTTGCCATGTGGCACTACAAGTCAAATACAAGATCAACTTATAATCAAACCTAATGGTAAGATAAAATTGCTTTCTTTTTTTAAAAGTTTTTTGTGTAAAAGAACCTTTAAATAAAAGTTTAAAATATCCAGCATCCTCAAAAAAAAAATTTAAAATAAATATGTCATTTAATTTTTAAAAAAATGAAAAATTATAGTAAAGTCCTAAAAAATTAATGATAGTTATATTTCATAAAAAAATTTAAAAATTGAGTTGTAAATATTGATTCAATTGCTAATAGAAATTTTGCAGTTGTCTAATCAATTTTTACAACCTCCTTTTTAATTTTTTTTATTTTTGATTTCATCGTTTGAGATTCTAGAAAATTTGAAAATATTACTATCATTTATCAAGACTAATCTAAAACCTCATAGTGGGGGATCATTATTTCTAACATATGCCTCGCGTGCATTTGGATGATATCTTTAACATATTTATTTAATATAATTATATATTTTAGGATTTTAACTTGAGATTTTAGGATAAGATAATTCAATTTCTTTGATCAATTAAATCAAGTATCCTTGATTTTTTTTTTATGAAGAAAATTTTGCCAGGGCATAGTTATCGTTAAATTTTTTTTTTAACTTTACTGTATTTATTATTTTTTAAAAATTTTTATGAGGTGGCACATTATGGACCGACTGGTTGTTTGAGTCCACTGGGTTTGAAGATTTTGAGTGCCGCTGAGGAAAATGACAATAAGAGGGCTCGGACCTCTCAGTAAAGCGTATCTATGCGAGGATGCGAAGGGTTTTTGAGTTTTGCGGATAAACCCTGAGCAAGTATCCATATCCTCGTCGGCACCAGTTGCAGCCCGGAAATTTTACTTGACCTAAGGGCTCACCCCGGTGAGTCTATGTGTCTCTTTCCCCTCAAAATTTTCTCTTTCTGGAATTATTTCTTGACTAGTTTCGATTTTATCCTGTCTCTCTCCGGATTCCAAAGGTAGTTAGATGGATACGCATATGATGTTTCCTTCGCCCAAAACTTATTCGCCTACTTCTTTACCATTCTTTATATCAAACACGTTTCCTTTACATGAAAAACCAATGCCTTTTGCGAAACCCCACCACTCCCCTTTAATGGTTTCGGTAGAAAGGTCGCAATTTTGGGGGAGGAATTTGGTATTGTCTCAGGAAAATGTGAACTTGGTTAATCTTAGAAAAGTTCATCCCCTAACTGGCCCAATTAGAGCGGCAGTGAAGAGGAGGAAAGAAATTCCCTTTGACAACGTGATACAGAGGGACAAGAAGCTGAAATTGGTCTTGAAGATAAGGAAGATTCTAGTTAGTCAACCTGATCGAATTATGTCGCTTCGGCAGCTGGGTAAATTTCGAAGAGAATTGGGTCTCCAAAAAAAGCGGCGGTTTATTGCATTGTTGAAGAAATTCCCAGCAGTTTTTCAGATTATGGAGGAGGGAGTTTACTCTCTGAAATTTAAATTAACACCAGAAGCTGAACGGCTTTATTTTGAGGAGTTGAAGATTAGAAATGAAATGGAGGATTTGTTAGTTGTGAAGCTGAGGAAATTGTTAATGATGTCACTGGAAAAGCGGATATTGTTGGAGAAGATTGCTCATCTGAGGACTGATTTGGGACTCCCGCACGAATTTCGTGAAACAATTTGTCATCGGTATCCACAGTACTTCAAAGTTGTTGCAACTGAGCGAGGCCCTGCACTGGAATTAAGTCATTGGGATCCAGAGCTTGCTGTTTCAGCCGCTGAGCTATCTGCAGAGGAAAATCGAATTAAAGAACTAGAAGAAAAAAATTTAATTATAGACAGGCCTGCCAAATTCAATAGAGTAAAGCTCCCTAAGGGTCTTCATCTGTCAAAGGGTGAGATTAGGAAGTTGATGCAGTTCAGAGACATGCCTTACATTTCACCATACTCAGATTTCTCAGGGCTGAGGCCTGGGTCACGGGAGAAGGAGAAGCATGCTTGTGGAGTTGTTCATGAGATTTTGAGCCTCACTCTTGAGAAACGAACCCTTGTTGATCACCTTACTCATTTTCGAGAGGAGTTCAGATTCTCTCAGCAGCTAAGAGGGATGTTGATCAGGCATCCTGATATGTTTTATGTCTCTCTGAAAGGAGACAGGGATTCTGTGTTTCTGAGAGAAGCCTATCGTGATTCACAGTTAATAGAGAAGGACCGATTTTTGCTTATAAAGGAAAAGCTTCGTTCTTTGGTTGCTGTTCCACGATTTCGCAAGGGGAGTGCTCCCGAAACAGACAGAGATGGAATGGAAGGGACCGATGACAGAGAAGATGAAAGTGGCGAAGAGGGGAATGAGTGGTCTGATCCTGAAATCTTTTTAAGTGATGATGAATTTGAAGATGAAGATGACGATGACGATGAGGACTGGAGTGATGAAGATGATGAGACACCCCCAGATTTTGATGAGGATAATGAAAGTCTGGAGATTGGACTAAAAAGACCAATTAAACAAGAAGAAAACTCAACACCTAAAGATGAAGAGGTGCTTGTTCCTGCATTCCCTGATGGTCGTCCTAGAGAACGCTGGTAAACTTATAGAAGAGCTTGCATGCTTCAATTTGTAAATCAAGAAGGCATCTAACTTCTTAACCTGCTTTTGAACCTACTGAAAAACCAGAGTTTGACGTCACTACCTTGGAAGAATATCCGTCATCTTACCAATAGGGGGGGGGGGGGAGATCCTACACTGCTCATCAACAGCCCCTATGGTGTTCTGTAAACATGAAAAACAGCTTATATTACGTTCAGATCAAAAAAGAATGCTCGATTAGCTCTTCTAGTTACTTGACTAAACATTGCTATCTTTATAATATATGTTTTGCGTTTATTGGGGCAAATGGAATAAATCAATGGCTGGCCGAAAGAACAGCTTAAATATTATAGTGATGTCCAACTTCTGGAGTCCAAGGCTCCATGTATTTATTTTTCTTTCAATTTCCCTGTTAATTTAACAAAACAATCAACTTCAGGATGCAAAAGATATATTTGCATTTTTTTTTTCGTGGAATACTTACGATTGTACGTAATCCCAAGCTTACGGGCACTGTAAAGTAGTCTTGTAGGGTTTCAAAAATCCTTTAATCTGATTCAATGTTATGGAGCAGGCAGAAATGATTTCAAGAGACTCAGAGCCTTTTAATCCTTAAGTTTACTCTGAGATTTTCACCTTCTTAATAAATAACATAGTGAGAACATCGAGGTAGGCCTAATGGTGAGAGTTCCACCAATTGATGTATCTTAGAAAAAAAACAAAGGGAAAAAAAGAAAAAGAGTTCAACCAATTGAAAGAACTCCCTATTGAATTACCCTAAACTGTATGCATACAGCCAATCTAGTTTTCCGCATCTCTCAAAATGTCAAGGGGACTTCGTTAGCGCAGTGATTAGCAAGTTCATGGACAAGCAAGGGCTGTTTTTTTGGGGGATACTTCACTTAATTTTTTAATGACAAATATGAGCGAGAACTTTAATATTTATAAACTCTAAAATACTCTTAATAGTTGATTTCCTCTAGCCCTAACACAGCTCTTCAGATGCTCTCTCGAATCTCTCCCTTTCTTCTCATTTTCACAAGCTGTAGACAGATTTATTTTTTTAGAAAAGTGTCCATGCGCCGCAGCGGACGCACAATGTGTCTTGGTGCATAACACGAAGAGCACCCCTCCAGGCATGTCAGATATATACGCCGCGACGGCCTAATCCACAACCGTAGCACGTGACGCAGAACTTTGCCCTTCAGATTTCTTCCTCTTCTTATTTTTGAGTGACCGATTCTCCTTCAGACCTGCTTTTAGAGCTGAAAATAAAATCAAACACGCTCGTTAAGCCTCTCTAGCCACACAACTTGGATGAGTTTTATGGTGATGATTAATGTTTGGATCCTGATTTTGAATGTGTGTTGCTATGGATTAATGATTTTCAGTTTTCATTTCAGACTTGGGAAGAATGTAATAATTACAGGTTAAGCTTGTGTAAGGATGGTGGATTATTTTTCCTTTGATGTTAGATTGTTATGTTATGGATTTTGCAGGTATATTATGAATTAGATATTAATATTTGTGATTTTTTCATTTTAAATGACATTTTTATATCTATATAGAAATTTAATTAATAGGTTTTAAATGTAAATTATTTTATATTAATTTATTATTTATCGGTTTGACCACGATTCAACTCTGATTCGACCATTGAACCATGAGCCATTATCTCAATTTGTTTAATGTTCGGTCTAATTTTTAAAACTTTAATTATGCCTCTATCTATGAGCGTAGGTAGGAGAAGGCCTGTACATAAATAGGTGGCCAGGCGGGGGAGCGGTGAGCAGAAAAGGGCAGTGTTGTCAAAGTGCTTATTGTTCATGTCCCCTCAAAGGCTTCCACTTTCCTGCGCTGCCAGGGAACATAAGAAGCCGGAAGCCTTCGGGAGGCCATCAACAACCTGTGCTTTGCTCACTCCCTAATATGTATCTTACTTGCTTCTTCTCTTCTTCAAGCCCTTCCCAAGTAGCAACTCATGATAATGTAGTTTCATCTTCTCCAACAAAAATAGTCTCACTCTGCTTTGGTGTGTTTTCAGGTGATCTATTTGATTGACATCAGAGAGATGGTTGAGTGACATTCAGATATTGATGACGTGGCTCACTGGGTAAACCAAAAAGAAACCAGTATGGGTTAACTTTCGACTTCTTCGTCATATAATCTCCAAAAACCTATTCCGCGTATTGGGATTGTGAGGGAAACAAGTGCCGGTGGTCACTGTAGGGTTCATGGGTGGTTTCTGCTTTTTAGAGTAAATTATGTTTCCTCATTCATTTTTATTTTATCTTGTAAGAAATTTTCGAACTTTTCTTTTTTTATAAAATTAACGTCTTAACAGAGTTCACGCTGATAGTTCCTTAGAATTTAACTGAAAAAAAATACTTGATGTCTAATAATGATTGTTACTAGTATAATCAACCACACCCAAGATACATGATCTATACTCCGAAGTCAGCTCAAGCATTTGCCTCTGGAGCGACTTTCATCGATCATTATTTTTTTTTAAATTTTTTTTCATCAATTGATTTTTCAAAGTTAAACGTCATCTAATTTGGATAAAATCAAGTCAGAATCAGAATATATATATATATATATATATATATTATTTATAAAGCTCTTAATATTGAGCTTGCTTAGTTTTTGTTTTTCCTCCAATAGCAGTGTTGCACAGGAATAAGAACTAATAAGGGAGTCCCCTTACCAGCGAAAAAATAAATAACGAAGAATTACAATCCGGTTCTGAAATAAAAAAAGATTAATTATTTTTTCAATTTATTTATAAATCAAACTTCCATATTTACTTCTTAAACTTTAATATTTACAAGTAAATGGGACCGGTTTTTTTAACCTGCAATTTATATATAATTCTCCTAGTAAATGGAGAAAGAAAAGAACCAAAGGAATTCCGGTTCGGCATTCTTTCCCGGTCCGCTGGGATAAACATAAACCTTATCCACAAAATCCAATTTCTTGCTTCGGACAGCCATCTCATCTCCCAGAATATTGTAGTAAAAAATAATAATAATAAAAAGAAACGAATCAAAATTCGAGAACGACTCAATTCACATTATACCTCCCATTATATTCACCGTCCAATGGCATTTTTCTTGCCTTCTCGGTGTCAATGCTCTATGGATAAACTAGCTCATGTTCATCATCTTAATCCTTGTTCTGTTCCCTATCGACGAACCAAATGGGCACCTCGAAGCCATTCACGTGCTTCAATTTCTCAGGGAATGATAGACACCTCAAATATTGCTTCTGCTCAGTTTTCATCGCCTAAATTTTCCTCAAGCTTTCACCTTTTGGAAAACATGGTTCAGATTAGGACTTTGGAATCTGTCAGAGTGTTGCATGCCCAGATACTCAAAATGCCATATGAGGGGAACTTGCATGCCATGGATAAAAGCTTGATCAGGTACTACTTAGAATTTGGGGGTTTTATGTGTGCAACGAAAGTGTTCTTTGTAGGTTTTACGAGAAATTATCTTCTCTGGAATTCGTTTGTGGAGGAGTGCGAAAGTTTTGGGGGTGATCCCCTTGAGATTATGGAGGCCTTCAAGGAATTGCATAATATAGGAGTGCAGTTAAATAGTAGAGCTCTTACTGTTGTTTTGAAAATTTGCTCCGCTCTGATGGATTTGTGGCTTGGGTTGGAAATTCATGCTAGTGTGATCAAGAGAGGCCTTGACTTTGACGTGCACTTGAATTGTGCATTGATCAATTTCTATGGGAAGTGCTGGAATGTAGATAAAGCGAATCAAGTGTTTGATGAAACGCCACACCATGAAAATTTCTTGTGGAATACAATAATTATAGTGAACTTGAGAAGTGAGAGGTGGGGAGAAGCTTTAGCATTGTTCAATAGGATGCAGCTATCTTCTGCCAAGCCCACTTGTGGAACCATGGTGAAGTTGCTTCAAGCTAGTGGGAAACTAAGAGCTCTCAACGAAGGGAAACAGATTCATGGGTATGTTTTAAGATGCGGTTTAGAATCAAATGTGTCCATTTGCAACTCCTTAATTAGCATGTACTCTAGAAACAATGAGCTGAAGCTAGCTAGAACAGTTTTCTATTCTATGGAAAATCATAACATATCTTCATGGAACTCAATAATTTCAAGTCATGCTGTCACTGGCAGTTTGAATGATGTGTGGGATATCTTCCGAAAAATGGAGTCACTGACTATCAAACCAGACATTATAACTTGGAATTCTCTTTTGTCTGCACATCTTCTTCAGGGCTCATACAATACAGTCCTCACCATTTTCCGGAGACTGCAAAGTGGTGGTTTCAAGCCGGATTCTTGCTCGGTCACTAGTGCCATACAAGCAATCATTGAATTGGGATTCTTCACTTTAGGGAAAGAAATCCATGGTTATGTTATAAGAAATAAGCTTGACTATGATGTCTATGTGTGTACTTCATTGGTGGATATGTATGTCAAGAATGATTCCTTAGAAAAAGCTCAAGCATTGTTTGATAATGCAGAGACCAAAAACATTTGTTCTTGGAATTCTTTGATATCTGGCTATTCCTTCAAGGGCCAGTTTAATAATGCCGAAACACTTTTAACTCAGATGAAGGAGGAAGGTATAGAACCTGATTTGGTGACATGGAATAGTTTGGTGTCAGGGTATTCAATGTGCGGCCATAGTGACAAAGCTTTGGCTGTGGTTCATCGGATCAAGAGTTCAGGATTGACTCCTAATGTGGTTTCGTGGACTGCTATTATATCAGGATGTTCACAGAATGAGAATTACAGGGATGCCTTGAAGTTTTTCAGCCAAATGCAAGCAGAAAATGTAAAACCCAACTCTACTACTATTTGCAGCTTACTATCTGCATGTGCAGGCCTATCCTTTTTAAAGAAAGGAGAAGAGATACACTGCTTAAGCATAAGACTGGTTTTGCGGATGACATTTATGCAGCCACAGCCCTCATTGACATGTACAGCAAGGCAGGTAGACTGAAAGTGGCTATTGATATTTTCAGTAGAATTCAGAACAAAACACGTCCTTGTTGGAATTGTATGATGATGGGATATGCCATTTATGGCCACGGGGAAGAGGTAATGACTCTTTTCGATGAACTATGCAAAACGGGTATCCAGCCTGATTCTATAACCTTCACTGCTCTTCTCTCTGGCTGCAAGAATTCAGGTTTAATTGATGAAGGATGGAAGTGTTTTGACAGTATGAAGACAGATTACAACTTGAACCCAACTATTGAGCACTACTCTTGCATGGTAGACCTTCTTGGAAAAGCTGGCTATCTTGATGAAGCATGGGATTTCATACAAACTATGCCCATAAAGCCAGATGCTAGCATTTGGGGTGCTCTTCTTGCATCCTGTAGAATTTACAACAACATGAAACTAGCAGAGGTTGCTGCGAAAAATCTTTTTGAGTTGGAACCACAGAATTCTTCTAATTATGTGTTGATGATGAACTTATATTCCGCTTTAAACCACTGGGAGGATGTGGAGCGTCTTAAAGAATCAATGATTGCCCGGGGGTTGAAGATCCCACATGTATGGAGCTGGACACAAGTTAATCAGACAATTCATCTGTTCTCCACGGAGGGGAAACCACATCCAGAAGAAGGGGACATATATTTTGAGCTATATCATTTGATTTCCGAAATCCGAAAGCTGGGTTATGTACCTGATATTAAGTGTGTGTATCAAAACATTGATGACAATGAGAAGCAGAAGGTTCTCCTGAGTCACACTGAGAAGTTGGCAATCACATATGCACTGATGAAGTCAAAAGGTGGGGCACCTATAAGGGTTGTTAAGAACACAAGAATTTGCCAAGATTGTCATGCTGCAGCAAAATACATCTCTTTGGCTAAAAATCGAAGTATTTTCCTTAGGGATGGTGGTCGCTTTCACCATTTTGTTAATGGTAAGTGCTCCTGCAATGATAGATGGTAATGAGAAATGTAGGTGAGAGAACTCAGGGCAGTTTATTGTCATTTTCTTATGTTCAAAATATGTCAACAAAAAGGGACTCCAATACATCATAGGAAGAGCATGCTAGATTCTGTGAGCAAACAACCAACAAACAATAACAAGTTATAGATGATGTTATTATGCTCTATCATTGCAAAAGAAGATTTCTTCAAGGTTGTGGGTTCCTTCTCTTTGGGCTAAAGGCAAAATGTGATTTATGGGGACAAAACGATGCAGAATTGGTCATTTATTCTTTGTAAATCATAAAGATCGCGTTATCTGAAGGATCAAAATTTCTTCTACGACACATTATATATATATATATATATTTGAAAAAATATAACTTTAAATTCTTATACTTTATTCATGTTTTACTATTAATTTTTGCATTTTTTTTGTGTTTTTGATCCCTGTATTTTTGTTTCATTATTTTAGATCTCGTTATGAGTAAAGTATAAGAATCTTGAAGGGATTTAAAATAACAAAAAATAAAAGTGCAGGGATCAAAAATATCAAAAAAAATTATAGGAGCTAATAGCAAAATGTTAGCAAAGTACAGTGACCTAAAATTATATTTTTTCTATATTTTTTGTTATTTACTGTACGATTTTATTTTACTCACAGGCCTTTAATACTTTCACGGAAAGTTAATGTTAGTGAGAAATATTATTTCATGCTGCACATGTTCTTTTTTTTCTTTTTTTCCTTCGTCAGAACACATATTTATTAGAAATTAGATTTTGTTAATAAAATAAGAGAAAATTTCAATCAACCTCCTTGGCCCAACATAATTTCAGTCAACCCCTAAAATTCTAAAATCTCACTACATTTGGCAACTAAAATGAAATTTAAGAAATGGCTCAAATAATCTTTTTTTTTTAATGAAGTTAAGCGCATGAACAATTCGTGTAAGAAAAATGAACAACTGATATATGAAAAATAAACAATTAAAATTAATAAAATTTATATCGCTCATTAATAATATAACACTACCATTAATTTGCAACTCTCATTCTAACATTAATTGTTCATTATATAAAAAATATATATATATATATATATTAATTGTTCATTTTTTTTACATGAGTTCTTCTTCATACAAATAACTTCACTAGAGACAATAAAATCAATTGAGTTATCTCTTTAATTTTACTTCTTTTTTTTTTAACGAAATCTCTTTAATTTTATTTCAATTCCCTAAATATGCAGTGAAATTTCACAATTTTAAAAGATTGATTGAAATTATATTGGGTTAAGGGACTGATTTTTCCATAAAACAATGAATGATTTAAGTTATTTTTTGTCATATGATCATATATGTCAGCTTAACACCATTCATTCACCAAAGGAAAAGCGTAATGGCCCATTCATGGACATGTGAAAGTAAAAGAGCCATGGTAATATCAATTCATGTAAACATTTCATTATAGACATGCGTCGATGATGAATAACAGCATTTTCCTTTATTAAGAATTAAAAAAAATACAAAAGGGGAAAAAGGAAACCAAGATCACCTCCATGGTTTCACGGTTTCACCCAAAAAAGAAAAGTAAAAATTCTCCATAGTCGGAAATTTGCAAATTGGATGCCAAAAGAATATTTCCAATTTCATGCAACCAAAAAAAAAAACTTTAAAAAAAAGACAAGAGATGTGTAAAAAAGAAATAAACATAAAAAGTTACACGCGCGCACACGAAAGAGCTAAATTTTAAAGCTAGGTTTGAAAGTCCTGAACACCTGATAAAATTGGAACGAAAAGAGAAAAGATAGGTTTATAGAACTTGATATTCCTCACAAAAAGAGATGCACCATGTACAGTTAGTTCAATGATTTCCGATAGGATTAAAAAATATCAGGGAAAAAATGGTTTCTCAGAGAAAAGCAATGGGGCAGTGAGAAATATCAAATTTTGTCCAAGAAAAATGTTAATCTGCTATCTGTTAATCTACGAATTGAAATAAATAATGTTAGCCCAAAAAATGCAATAAATCATGCCTTGGAATAACCATCCTACCTCCTCTTATTATGAGGAAGCTTCCACTAATTGCAATAAATCATGCTAATGATCTCTGGTTTCTACATTTCTCCCTACTCTGCCCCACCCCTATTCTTTTCCTGGGGCCTCAGGGCCTCTCTTTTATAGAAAAAGTTGGATTTGCAACCACCTCACAATTAGAATCATGCCTTATAGTTAGAATAACCATCCCACCTCCTATTATTGAGGAAGCTTCCACCAATCGCTTTCAAAAACAAAGGGAAGAAAAAAGTGGATAAATCAACTTACAAACAAGTAACACTAAACTTATACAAGAAAGATAGATAAGAGCAACAAAGGCAGCGGATACTAAGAGGGGTCTTCTCCTACCAGTACAGAGATCTTGCTGATGAACATGAAATAGCAAAGGCTGCAGTTCTCTTTCTTTTCTTTTCTTTTTTCTTTTTTCTTTTTTCCAACATAAATATTTACAAATAGCCCTAGCAACACACCACCATGCAGATACCCCAGGAAGAATAGCAGAGAACAAGGAACTTTCCCCGCTCCCATCCTCTCATGTTCATGAAGCTGAGAATCTCATCTCGCAAAAACTGAAGGAGAGAAACTTAGCTGTTCTTAAGTAGATTACACAAAGCTACAGATGCAGAAGGGATGGTAGGGAAAGGCATCCTTGATATTGAAATACAAATTGGCAGCAACCCACACCCAAAACTTCTGAGAACGTGGAAGAAATACTCCAACCAATCTCTACACCTGACCTGGGATTAGAAAGCCACAGATCGAATAGTTGCAACCCGACCTTGTTCACCCATACCTACTTAATGCTTGATGGGATCGGTCCGGCCCTGCACAGCCATCCTCTCGGAGACATCAGCCAAGGAGCTTAGATTGCACCTGATCAACGCCTCCACAAAGTAACAGGTTTCATCCCTGGTGTTCCCATCAGGTACGTCCACCACAAAGGATTCAATCACCATTGTTCCAGGTCTTCCATCAATGATCTCTGGATGCACTGTGATTATAGAGGAATAGTTCTGCAGAATTCACATAATATCGTTTATTACTTTAATTGCACCCTGCAAACTTAAAAGAAGGGAAGAACTAACAAATACATATGCACAACAGTGGAAAAGACTGAACGTCTCACATATTAGCCTGTACCGAGCACATTTATGAAAATTTAGAGAAATACCAGTAGTTAGTGCATACAATATGTAGGAATCTTCCAAAGCATGGTAACCTTATGTGCTTGCAAGTTGCAAGCATGTCTGATGACTCTAACCAAAATACCAGATTGAGTAAATACGAGAAACAAACCATGGGCTCTCTATTCCCCATTCATTTCACACAATTCCTTATCTATTTGATTACAGAAACTGGTCAATGGCATAATTATAAGAAGTAGAGGAAACATCCCAGATATTTATTACCAATTGAATATCATATCAGGATGAGGTAGCTTGTGGCATTTCCAACAGTAACACTGAACAGTCAGAGAAAAGATACATTTAAACAGTAGAACAAAACTCGTGTTTTCTACAAAGCAAAGAAACACACAGACATAGCATGCACGAATACCGGGTCATAACAGTGGTTCTCCAAACTTCCAAGCATTTCAGTTTTTCAATGTCTTTTCTTCACTTTAGCGCAAGAAATAATGCGGGTACTACTTTCAGAAGATTTAATAACCATGAGTGAAGGTTCCCAAACTTCGCTTTATTCAGATAAAACATAAATGTTTACTTTTTCTGTTTATTCCCCCCTTTCCAATTATTTTCGCAATGAGAATCACTTAGAAGAATAAAATGATAAAGGGGGAAAAGGGAAGAACAGTCACACCCGCAGCCTGTGGTCGCCACCAACAATCTTGACGCAAAGAATGTGTTCCTCATCGTCAAGTTGTTCCAACCTCTCAGTACTAGTTGTAGCAGGAAGTCCCGATTTAACATTCACTTCTCTCACGCTCCCAATACCAAGGTCTCCCTGCATGATACACCTGCTTACAAAAGGTTTGTACTTCTGAGGCTGATCAAACCTTCTAACCAGCGACCACACCTAACAGAAGAAAATAGTTCGAGTCAGATCAGTTATTTTCTTTCTTCTGCCACAAATTTCACCCAATAATGAAACGTACAATGAAATACACATGCGGAGCACGTTATAATCTTGACCCTAAACCTAGAGTTCAACTGATCATAAAAACAAACGGAGATAAAATAGCAGATATTAAGATATTAATGCTTTCCATTCGCTAGGTTTTCGGGAAAAAACAGGTCAGCAAAAAACTTAAAAGCGCTACACAAGTGGGAGAATGCTCATAACGCCAACATCCTCGTCGTTTTTCGCATTCCAATTGAAATTTAAGCGAAATCTGACAAAAAAAAAAAGGTGAAAGGGTTGTGACATGTGAATGAAGGACATTTGTTGCCATAACCGATTCCATAACCACTCACATGAAATTCACATAAGTCAAAAACCATCCCAGCGTCTCACGAGTTTCGATTGACAGAATCAACAATGAAGAAAGAGACAAAATCAGGAGGAAACCATAAAGGGAAACGTCAAGGCTGAAGAGTGGAATTGCTCAGATCTTGAAAAGGCAAAAGTCAAAGCATTGAAAAACGAAACAAATTAAGACCGACCAATCGCAAAAAAGCTCAGAAGCCAAATCAACCATGATGAATAACCAATTCTGATCGCAATATTAACACAAGCAACTTACAAGGTGAACAGGAGCTCGTATGTGCTTGACGAGGGCGGAAGTACACTGGTTCTCCCTGGGTTCATGCTTGTGATGTCTCCGTATGTACTGGGTCTCTGTGGCACCGTACGATTCGTCTCCGCTCATCCTTCACTCCACCTTCCTTCTTCGCTGTGTACGAGATGTGGCAGAGGGTTCGAGAGAGGGATAAGGTTTGGTTTCGCAGAGAAGGTTATGTTAGGCGCAAAAGAAAGTTAGAGCCTTAAACGCTTAAAGCTAAGCTTGGATTGGCAAGTGGCAAGGCAATCAAAAAAGTCCATGAACCCACCGACACAGTTTTATTTTATTTTATCCTTTAAATGCTCCTAACGACCCATTGGCTGCTTTCCGTGGGGCAGGTATCGGCCTATCAAATGAAAATATTACGGTTTAAACCCCAAGTATTAAAACATTTGGATCCAATAGCCTTGAGCTTCATGATTATTACGATAACCCCATAATGAACATTGCGTTGCTTTTTGTGGTGAGCAAATTGAATTTAAGGATGTGATTGTAAGAATAATAAGTTGATTAAAATGCCCCTGATGGTGATCAAGTTTGCAAGTCCAAGAGAAAAGTCTTTTTCAACTCAGTTAAAATTATTTCAGTGCCAATTAATTTTAAGTTGGCCAATTATAGTTTGATAGTAAAAATATTTTTACCTCAAATAAAATGATGTTATAACCCTTTAAACTAAATTTCCAATACAGTTAAAGTAATTTCAGCATTAGCAAATTTTAAATTAACCAATCAGAAGTCTAGAAGTAAACTTTTTCAATTCAAATAAAGTAATGTTATAACTCTCTTAATGAATTTTTGATTCAATTAAAGTGATTTTAACACTAATAAATATTAAATTGGCCAATTATCAGTTGGATGACCAATTTTGCAGGTTTGATAGTAAAAAAAAATTTTAACTCAAATAAAATAATGAGATTTTTGCACATAGTGCCATTCAATAGGACCAAATAAAGATAACAACATAACATTTTAAATATTTTGTAATGTGGCTGAATTAATATTTTAGTTAAATTAAAATGACAAAAATGCCTCTTCTCCTCAAATATGAAACCTTATTCTCAAATGTAAAATATAATATACCCACTAAGCTAATGGTGAAGTATTCAAGAGCATTTAAATATTGAAACAATATATGATTATAATTGGGCCATGATTATAATCATTTAGCTACGGGAGTTTTGCTATTTTGTTACACAAGTTTTTTTTATTTGTTTTGGAAATAAAAAGAAAAAATCACACCCCAATTAATTATAAATAGTCTACGTTTTAAAATTTTTAAAAACTTCTTTCATAATTTTTTGTCAATATATTTTTTATAACCATTAGGCCAATTTACTTTAAAGTAATTTCATAACTTTCTTCAACTAAGTTTTTAATTCAATTAAAGTTATTTCAACGCCATCAAATGTTAAGTTGGCCAATGAATAAAGACATTTCTAATTCAAATAAAGTAATTTCATATCTCACTTTAACTAAATTTTTAATTCAATTAAAATGATTTTAACATTAGGAATCCAGCATTTCAAATAAGGTCATTTTAATTAAAGTATTATTTTTTAAAACTAAAAAAATCCTGTGGTCCTGAAATATAATTTCAAGGCCCTGGCTTAGTAATTGTAATATTTGAAGGTTTTTGTTTGTGATTTTCACTTAATTAATGTATTGCCCCCGAATTGTCATTTCCCCCAAAATGGTTACTTTAGGACTTTATCCGTCATTGTTTTTTTTCCATATAATTTTGTTTGTTAAATTGATTTTAAAAAAAGTACAAGTTGGTACAATCACGTGCCCACGGTAATAAGTAATGCTAGAATTTTGCATTGGGAAATTATCAATGGGGGCCCTTAAAATTAAATTAAGGCATGCCTAACTTAAAGCATTTGGAAACCCTTCTATAGACTCAAATATCTCAATAGCAGTTAATTTTTTTGATTCAATTACAAAAACATTCTTTATTTTTATTTAAAAAAAAAAGTAAACTTGCTATCGCTAGAGCTCTGTAGTCAACCAATGAACCTCCGTGCTAGCGAGTGGTCAACAATAGGTCATCTTAAAAAAAGAATCAAGGGATTATTTGATTCTTTAACCTCTTTAGTATCAAAAAGAAAAGTTATTACTGAACCACTAAATACTTTTAATTATATAATATATTATAACTTTTTTTCAAGTATTTATATAATTATTGTTAATCATGAATATATTATTTATATCTGAACAACCATTGTATGTATATAAATATGACTTGTTTATATATAAAAAATTATCAAGTTTTCAAACCTAATTTTTAAAAAAAATTTTAATAACTTGTTGTTCCAATATTGACTTTTTGTCAATATTAAACTACATAAAAAGTATATGTGTTGCAAATTTACTTTTCACATTTTTTTCATTAACTCTAGTTATTCATGGATGTACTGTTATTCATATTCAAATAGTTACTCATGCACATGTGAACGTGACTTATTTATATATAAAAAAGTTTTTAATTTTTTAAACCAAATTTTTTTCAATTTTTTTGACAACTTGTTGTTTCAAAATTAATATTTTATCAGCGTTATGCTAAATAAAAAACATGTGTTATAAATTTATTTTTCAAGTATTTTCATATGCTTTGATTAATCATGAATACATCCTTGTTCATATCCGAAAAATCACTTGTTCATATTCAAACAATCAATTGTACATATACGAATATGACTTATTCATACATAAAAAAGCTGTGATATATATTTGGGAGAATGACAATTAAGGACCTGCTAAGGACATTAATCCCAATTACGGACCGTGAAATTTTGAAATCAGAGTTAAGGACTATGGTCCTTAATTGTGATAAAAAAATATAATTTGTGAGGTGGGATTCACTAACGCGACTTGGGAATTCACTAACCTAATTTGAAAAAATTACTAACGTATATTGTGAAAACATGAAACCCCACTTAGAAATGGAATGTTTAAAAAAAAGCACCACTTGAGAATTCACTAACTAGACTTAAAAAAATTTTTAATGTATATTGTGAAAAAATGAAAACCCCACTTGAGAATCATTAATAAAAAGTGACTTATCCAAATTGGTGTTTTTTATTAAACAATCGATTCTCAAGTGAAGTTTCATATTTTCACAATATACGTTAGAAATTTTTTCAAGTCAAGTTAGTGAATTTTCAAGTGGCACTTTTTGTTAAACATTTAATTTCTAAGTGGGGTTTCATGTTTTCACAATATACGTTACAAATTTTCTTAAGTTAGGTTAGTGAATTCTCAAGTGACAATAATGAATCCCACCTCATAAATTACATTTTTTTAATCACAATTAAGGACCATGGTCCTTAACTGAGATTTCAGAATTTCACGGTCCGTAATTGAGATTAATGTTCTTAGCAGGTCCTTAATTGTCATTCTCCCTATATATTTATAAGTGATTGTTCAGATATGAGTAACAATGTGTCAATGAATAACCAAAGCTAATAAAAATACTTGAAAAATAAATTTACAGCACTTATTTTTTATTTAGTCTAATATTGATAAAATGTCAATTTTGAAACAACAAGTTGTCAAAAAATTCAAAAAAAAATTAGGTTTAAAAAATTAATAACTTTTTTATGCATGAACAAGTTGTGTTCGTATATGTACAAGTAATTGTTCAAATATGAATAACAATGCATACATGAATAACCAAAGTTGATGAAAATACTTGAAAATAAATTTATAACATATATTTTTTTATTTATTAAAACATTAATAAAATGTAAATTTTGAAAAAACAAGTTGTTAAACAAAATTGAAAAAAGTTAGTTTTAAATAATTAATAATTTTTTTATATATGAATAAGTTCTATTCGTATATGTATAAGTAACTGTTTGAATATGTACAATAACATGTCCAAGGTGGACAACAAATCATATAAATGTTTAGAAAAAGTATTATAATATATATAATATATATTATAATTTGCTATATATAATTAAAAGTATTCAATAATTCAGTGGCAACTCTCCTTTTTAACACTTAAGGGCTTAAGGGATCAAATTATCCTTTGGCCCCGACAGCGGAGCACCGATGATAGTGGGTTGTTTTGTTTTTAAAAAAATCAAGGTTATTTTCATAATTAGACTAAAAAAATCAATTGTTGTTGAGGCTTGGAAGAGTTTTAAAATATTTTGAGCCCCACATGCTATTAATTTAATTGTGAAGGCCCTCGTTGAAACTCTCTCTCTCTCTCTCTCTATCTACTAATAAGGTAACTGGTAAGCATCGCTGAATTACTCGAGACATCGCTTTTGTAGATCCAAGTCATTTTGCATGCTTTCTTTCTAAAATTAACATTTGTTATAAAGAAGTTAAATGACCCATACTTTATCACAAGTACTGTTACAGATAGTATTATCATTTATTCTTTAAACTTTATGTAAATTTAGATATTAAATATATGAAACATAAAACTCTTGTCATCTAAGTTTTTCATCAATTATTAATTCAACGTTTGAATTCTAATTCAAAATAACTTAGCATCCATTTGAGCTAAAATCTAATTTTAATCCCAAGCCCAATTATTTGGGATTAAAAAAATAATTTTAGCCTAATTTACATGAATCTTTAGAAAAAAGATGGCTGTTTATTATGAAAAATGTTATAGTGAAAAGTGAAACTAATAACCCTAAAAATTGGAGCACGAAGCCATGGAAGAAGCCACCAAATGTAAAAGGTCTCTCTTCTACACTATATACAACCTTTCAATAACCTCTTTAAACACTTCAAATTTGCCTATTCTGTCCAAACTCAATCTTTGATCCCATGTCATCCCTTATTTCGCCATACATGACTCCTATTTTTCCTAGCAAATTTAACACTATGCTTTTAGGGCACTACACATCCAACAAAGAGTGCTAAAGTTATTTGGTAATCAATAAAACGTCAACTCCTAACAAAACAACAATAATAGTGCACTAGTGTTTTTTCTTTGGTTTTTCATCTTTTATTTTGCTATAATTTCCTTTTTATTATTATTGATATCATGTCTGCTCTCATCATACAAGTGTTGCATGTTTCTCCATTTTTATTCATTCATTCCTTTCACTTTTAAGCACTTGCATTTGAAAAAATTGTGACAATAAACCTTAAAAATTCACTGTTTGGTTTAAAAATTAGGAACACTATACCTTTTGAGAACATGTTCCTCTAGCATGCCTGCACAAAAAACACCATAAATAATATCTAT